GGCTTCACAGCACAGGGTCACCGTGAGGACGCAAAGAGGAAGTACAGAAAGCCACCCCAAGCTGGGCATGGGCGGGGGGCACGCCCAGGGTGCTGTTTCCGGACTGCAGCCTGGCCCCTTTCAGTGCTGGACATGTGAGCCAGCGCTTCCAGGCCACCTTTGACCTGATGGCCTCACCTACCACTGCAAGGCCCCTCTACCAACACCTGGGTCTTGAGCTCCTGCTGGGGTCCTCCTCACTTGGCAAGCTGATTAAGTGGGAATCAGACCACCACCAGAGGGTGCTGCCTTGTGCAGTCCTGCCCAAATGGAGCGAGTCTCCTCTGTGGTCTTGCCCAGCTCCAGGGTGAGCTGACTGGGGGAGGGGAATGTTTATGAAGCTTTTACTGGGTGCCTGAGTTTCTTCCTTACAACAAACATGCAAGGTAGCTATTAGGAACCTTGATCCACATGGAGCCTTGGAGATGTCTGCCCAGGAGTCCATCTGCTGGGACCTCTGTGGCTCAGATTTCTTGCCAGGCTCCTCAGGAGCAGGAGTTTGAGAGATCAGAGGAGATGCATGGCAAAGTGGGCAAAGCTGTCTGTGAGCTCAGAGCACAGCACTTAAGAGGACTTTTGGAGCTGACCTGACACCTAGTGGCCACGAGTAGGAATTGCTCCACCATTGGGAAGGCTCCAGGGCTGTTGCCTGCAGGTTTTGGGCTGGTCGGCCCCTCACTTACCTGGGGCTGGTGGTGTCAAGGGTGGCCTGGGGTCGGGGGGGTCGGGGTGGGGGTGGCGGGGAGATTTCAGCTTCCCTGTATCTCCATAATTCCCCGATAGCTACTCAAGCAAAAAATAACATTTGATTAAAAAGTTGCTGCCTTTTAACTTTTATACAAAGGATGAATGAAAGCATCTTGAGAAAACTGCAGTTTTTATTGACCTGCAACCTTCATTTCATAACAGATTTTTATATTTCATGGCCTCCTTGTCCTCAGGAGTGACTGGAAACCAGCAGTGACTGGACACCAGCCGTGACTGGACACCAGCCGTGACTGAACGCTCACTTACTGGCAGGAGACTTGATGGGGAATTTCATGGGTTATAATAGACGTAAAGACACGGTCCCTGACTTCCAGCAGCTTTGATTTATTGGGGAAGTCAGAGCAAGGACTTCTACATATCCTGACAGGTACAGTGGGCATGAGCTTCAGCCCACAGACTCCTTATTGCATTTCTTTCTTTTCTTTTCATCATCCCAATTTTGACTCTGAGCTTGTATACCACCCACCCAATGGAAATTCACCTTCAGGCTAAGACCTTGAAGTTGAAGGAAGGAAAAGGGGAAAATATACTATGGGAAGGGGGTTGTACATTATTTCAAATAATGATTCTGCCACATGTGCAGAGAGGCGTCGGCATTGCCCCCAGCCTTGGGGCTGCAGAGTGACACCAGTGGACCAGTGACTTGATTCCTGGGTGCCATCCACACACCACTGGTGCTCTAAAGGCTGAGTTCCTGGGAGCCCCTTAACGTTCCCATGGTTTCCACTGCTTGCCCACAATTGCCAGGTGAAAGTATTTGTTCATTCCACAGGTATTTATTGAGCCTCTGCTATACGCCAGGCACCATGTGGGACTACAGAGATGTATGGGACAGTTCCTGCCCTTCTTCATCCACAAAAATGACAAAGAGGTTAACCAAAATCCTTTAGCTTATCCCACCCTCTTCCCCTACTCTGCACATGCTGATCTTGGCTATTCCTGCTCTTCTTTTGCTAAGCTCCTCATGTCTCCCCAGTTTCCCCAAGGAGTTTTGAAAAGAAATGTAGAATGGCAGGCCCCTACAACAGACTGGGAAGCCTTTATGGCAGCTGTCCCACTTTCAGGTGGCTCCAAGGTCAGGTGGCCAGGTAGTGCTGGGGCCTTGAGTAGAAGCCAGCTCTCCCTGCCTCCCATCCTGAGTTCTCTCTGTGTGACCCCTCAGCATTTGCTTCTAAAGGCCCCTGTCCTCATTTCATGAGCATCTGTTCCCTCGGCCACTGCCTCTCACATCTCGAAATCTCTCCCCTTGACACAGTTTACAATTACTATGACGACCGCTTTGTGCACTGACCTCCTCCCCACTGCTCTTTCCCTGCCACTTAGCAACCCCATTGCATTCCCAATTTGTCTTCCTGGCTCTTAAAGAGGCCACCAAGGACGTGCTCCCTGGTGGTCCCTAAAACCAGAGGGTGCTCCCCTGGTGAAGGGCACACCACCAGCAGCCCAGGGGTGCTGAGACCAAGCCAGACTTTATTGGCTTTCTCACGGTCCTGACCTTGGTGTTTGTCCACAGAAGTTTCAACCAGAACTTTCTTTGCTTCCTCCTGGCCGCTCTCCGACGTGCCAGAACTTTTCTGTTGCAGAAACTTCTTTCCAGGCCAGACTTGTTGCTATGGCTTCACCATTTACAAGACACTGGTTTGAGAGGTAAGGGGATAATGTTGAATGCCAATGCAGCCTCATGGCCGATGGACGAGAATGTTTAGACAGGCTCCACTCCAAGCGAGACCATTTGTAAACCCGTCTCTCAGCCTGGCAGAGCATTGAACATGGGTAAGGTTTGGTGTCGGCCTGGAGAAGGAGTAGAGAGCTGGGCTACGTGGTTGTCAAGGGTTTGGCAGTAGATGTAAGTTTAGAAAGTGCAGACCCTTTGGCGAGTAACCACACTGGGTTTGCTGCACCAAACACTTGTTAGAGAACACGCGTATGCAAACACTGTCTACAAAAGGATCTTGGTGACAGTATTGTTTGTAGTGGAAAAACAGAGAAAATAAATGTTCATAAAAATGAGATTAAATTACAAGACTTCTATACTGTGAAATACCAGTGGCAGCTAAAAAGACTTAGATGGTTCTAAATGTACTAATGTGGAAAGATCACCAGACACACTGTAAGGCAAAGCAAGTTCAGAGGAACGTGACTGTGCAACTCTGTTTATGATAAGAAATAGTGTGTGTGTCTGTGTGATATGAAATATGATAAAACACATGCGTACTCTGATATAATAAATGGTAAAACGCATATGGTAACATGCCAGGTAAAGCTCTGAATGCTTTTAATCCCCCAAAACTCCTATGCCATGCGTACTATGATTAGCCCCCTAATGCAGATGGATAAACCAAGGCACAGGGAGATCAGGTAACTTGCCTAACGTTCTACAGGAGTAGAGCTGGGATTACACTCAAGTGGTTTGGCCTCAGAGCCCATGTTCTTAACCATTACATCATATACACACACATCCACTCACTCACACACATACTTGGTTGCGAGTATGTGGGAAAAGTTAGGGAAATGGGCACCTAGAATAATTCATGAGGACGCTCTGGGGAACAAAGCGAACTGTGGAAGGGGGTGAGAGAAAAGAGGACCTTCATTTTCTTCTTTCTGTTCTTCTGTGGATTTAGAATTTTTATAAGGAGGTATCATTTGTAACAGTAAGTGAACATTAGAAAAACCCATGCAACCATGAAAATTACAACTGTGCCCTCAGTCAGAACTTACAGAGCTGCTAACAGGGTGTGATCTCAGGGGCAGTTTGATGTGCCCACAAGAGTCCCCCTGACTCGGTTTTTGAGACTCAGCGACCCCAACCCCAGTACTGCCTCTCGATGGCCATGTGACCTTGTCTACAAAGCGGGAGGGTTTGCTGGACCTGGGACCTGGTCCCTTGATCTCTGCCTTGGGCACTTCCCACCAGCAACCCAAGGAATAAGAGGCTGCACTTCCAGGGGGGCAGGTGGAGAGGTTCCAGACAGAGGCACGGCTTTGGGGGGGATGGTGTACAGGTCTGAGCCATCCTTGAGGAGCCTCCTTGCTGAATGACAGCTCCTGACATGCATTGTCCCCTTTGATCCTTACAAAACCCTCTTGGGTGCTGTGGTTATCACCCCCTTTTTAAGACTTGGAGACGGAGAGGCCTGTTAGCGGCCACGCCCTTGCGAAGGGCAGGGTTTGCAGGTGGGGCAGTCTGCCCTTCCTGTCCACGCGGTGGCTTCTCCCCATGGGGGATGCTGACGGAGGCACAGGGCAGAGATATTGGAAGAGGTCTTGTGGGGCAGGACCAGAGGGGGGCCTACTCTGATGGAGCTCCTTAAGAATGCTGCCACACACGAAGCTGTGGGCCCGACATGAGCCCCAACCTGCAGACCCAGCGGGGTCCTGTGGCCTGAGCGAGGAGGTCTAGCTTGGAGGAGTGGGCTCTGGAGCCACACAGACCTGGGTCCAATGGCCACGGTTGCCCTTTCTGGCTGTGAGTGCTTAGCCCCTTCTCTATAGCTCCATTCCATCCTTTACAGCACAGGGGTGATATCAGCACCGCCACTGGGGGCCGTGAGAATCGAGGCACCTGTGCCTGTTTGGTGACTGGCAGAGTACTTGGCACATGGTAAGGACTCACAGGTGTTGGTTATCGATATTATTATTGTCATAGTCCTTTCGTATCGCCTCAAGGACTTCAGCCTAAGTCACATGCTGCATCATGCCCTAAGCTACAGCAGAACTGAACGACCTGCGGTTCCCTAATTGTACCGTGCCCAGCTCACACTTCAGCACTTGGTTCTCGACATCCCTCTGCCCTCGCATCTTTGTCTATGTGAAACCCCTGTCTGAATGACACCTCCTCTTTGGGCTACCGTGGGACCTCGTACATGTCCCCAAACCCCTTTGCCACTGAGTAACTATGAGCTCCTTTGTGTCACCTCCTATCTGCTGTGAGCACTGTGTCCCCAGAACCTGGCCCGCATCCAGCAGCATGCAGTGGAGGCTGAAGCTCGGCTGAGTGAGCCAGCGGAAGATGAGAAGGAGGGTAAACAGCCTTGGGACAGGGCAAAGGCAGCCTGCTGTGCAGGGGACATACAGTGCAGGCGGGGTGGCCCCAGGAGCTCGGGCCAACCCGGCCAGGGTGCCTTAGAGAGAACCGAGGGCCTGCCCGGGACAGAAGCTGGGTGGGGATTGGCCACTGGGCCTGCGCTGACCTGAAGTTCACCATGCCTTTCTTGTCATCCAGCCGCTTTATCAGCTCCTTGAGCTGGAACCGGTTTAGGGGGACCTTGTTCTGCTGGAGAGGTGAACGGAACATGGGAGGTTAATGGAGGTCTCGGCTTACCTGCCCCCACGTGCCCTGCTCACCCCCACACCCCCCCGCAAGTGCACACAGAGCCCAAGGCCGCTAGAGGCCAGCACACCTGTATCATGGCTCTCCAGAACTCGCCCACAGGCATCTTCATCATTCCGGTAGGGCTCAAGCTCTTGAAGAAGTCCAAGACCGTGATATTTTGCTGGTCTGCATAGCTCTGGGAGAAGCAGGAGATGCCAGGAGCAAATGTTTGACCTTCTAACATCTGTAACAACTCTCCCTCCTTTCCCCTCCCATCCCAGCCTGGCCCCAGACCTAGCAGGCCGAGGGGGACTGTGACCAGGCAGGCAGACCCAGGAGCTAGAGTCGGCTGCATGTTCAAGTCCCTTAAGATCAAGAGTCCTGTACAGACTGATGCTGTGAAGGTCCCCTGGAATCGAGGGATTTGGGCAGCGATCATGTTTACGTGTATTATTAAGTTTTGAAATTGCCCCTGCTAAGGCTAGTGTAGATGGTGCGCTGTGGACGGTTGGGGGCAGGGGCTGGGGCGGGGCCGAGGCTGCCCTTAGCTCAGAGTCCAGAAGACCAAACCGCCAACCTGTTGTGCGGTGAGCAGGACTGGCTCTCAGAATTCGTTGAATTCTCATCATTTCACACAAATGCGTATATGGAGATACACTGTGTTAGGGTATTTAAAAAATAATATTTCATGGTCTTCATTTCAAAAATATTACCCAATCACATTGAAAGGTAATTTTCAATTACCATCCAGAGGTAACATCTTGATGTGTATCCTTTCATCTGTCTGTCTGTCTGTCTGTCTATCTACCTACCTATTATCCATCCACCCACCCATCATTTTTCTATTGTACGTACCGTTTTATGAAATGCACCGTAGTGATACATTGTGAACACATTTTCAATATTACTAAAATATTCTTTTGGGGCCCTTTTGAGTATCTCTGCTCACCTGAATTCTTGATCCTCAAGGCCCTCCCCTGACCCCACCTCTGCCAGGAAGCATCCTTTTCTGTGAGCCCAATGCTACCTGACCTCTAATTTGGGTTCTGATCATATTTGCTGCTTTTGCCACTTATTTATTACTTACCATATGGCACTTCCTATGAGAAGTTATTGTATCTATCCCATTTTCCAAACCAGGCTGTTGGCCCTCGGAGGGAAAGGACTGTTTCACATTGCATGTGGGTTTTGGTCTAGACTAGGAGGCCTCTTCTCTGTGCTGCTTTAAACAAGGGGCAGGCTACCCCCCAATCTCCACCCTGCCACACACACACACACACACACACACACACACACACACACACACTTTGCATCAGATAACTCCACTCCTGCTCACTGGAACATCCTTCTGCCCTTGCAAAACAGGTTTCCCCTTGGTTCCACCCGAGGTCATCTGACCTATAAAGATAGTTGGTATCATTTGCTTTTTAGAACTTTGGGGTGACAGCCAGCATTGGAAACCCCAGACCTGAGGCTGTTGCTGCGCTGAGGCCATCAGACCAGAGCAGCTCTAACATCCATTAACAGCCCCAATAGTGTCTGATTTTTCATTTTCACTATCATACCTGCCACCTGTGATTGCCAGGGACAAACTAAGGCTCCAGCTAGATTACCACTAGATATAAAGGACTTGAGGGTCCCTCCTTAAAGATTTTATTTATTTATTTTTAGAGAGAGAGGAAGAGAGGAAGAAAGAGAGGGAGAGGAGCATCGATGAGAGAGAGAAGCTTAGTCTCTTCTAAGCGCCTGACTGGGAGCCAAACCCCCAACCCAGGCATGTACCCTGATGGGGAATCGAACCACGGGACCTTTCGCCTTGTGGGATGCTGCCCAACCAACTGAGCCACACAAGTCAGGACAAGGGTCTCTCCTTAGATAAAGCCAACAAAGAGCTGTCCTGACCACAAGGGTGTCTTGTTTGGCATCATTACCAGCTATTGGAAAGAGCCCACATTTATTGGGCGCTGGTTACATGCCAGACATTGTTCTAATCCATTCGTGCATATTACAGAATTGAATCTCCACAGCAGCCCATTTCACAGGTGAAGAGGCCGAGGCACAGAAAGCTTCAGTGATTTGCCTTTGATCCTACAGCAGCAAGGGGAAGAGCCTGGCTGGTAGGAGCCGTCCTGTCCCAAGCCCCTCCCACTTCAGCCAGTTCTCAGCTGTTCCTTTCTGCTGAGGAACCCAAACTCCACGGGGAATATTCCACATCTGAGCCGTTCTGTGTCAGAGGGAGTGGTGTACTTTGGGGGAGGGGAGACTCTGGGCCGCTGATAGGAGCCGAAGGACAGCTTTCTGCAGGGGTCCCTGAGGGGTCTGAGAGGAAAGCGGGGGCTTACCTGGATCAGTTTCATGGGGTTTGTCCACATGAAGACGGTATTTTTGGCAGAGAGACCTTGGATTGCCTTGTAGGTCACGTCCAGTTGGGGGTGGATGGCATACACCCCTTCTAATGTTTTTATGAACTGCTCGGACACCATCACGTTCTGAGGCAGGGAGAGAGGGGACCCGTCATGGCAGGGGCACCGCCACTGTACCATCTCCCAGCCCAGACGGTGTCTGCCCCAAGCCAAAGTCAGAGAGCGTCGTCTTTCCCAGTCTGTCCTGCAGTGCTGCTCCTAGACTGGGATGGACCCCGTGTTTTAGAGCTTGCGGTTTAACCTGTAAATTAAACCACAATCACCTAAACCCAGGTGACTGATCAGATGTTCTAGTTGAGTGCTGGGGGCTTGTCACACACTGTCACCCCAGCGCTGCTCCCTGATGGCAAGCATAAGTGTCTGTGTGCAACAGATGAGATGAAGTGATGGGGTGGCGAGACCGGTCCCATGACAGGTCCATTTCTACACTCGTGTTGGACCTCAGAGCAGGTGCCCTGGAGGAGGGTCCCTCACTCCGACCGTGGGCCCGGCTCGAAACGCACTGCGAGCTCTGGTATGGCAGTGCCCTCAGCGTGGGGTCAGAGGCCGCAGGAGAAGGCGTGTGTCATGAAATAGCGTTTGACCGAACCTGGCCTCCACGGCTTTGATCAACCTGCGTCATTCCTCAGGTGTGGTTCTGAGTATCTCTTGCTTTTCAAAGAATCGAACCCACACTTAAGAGCTGAAGCCTTACCCCTCCCCTTTGTAGATAGTCTAGAAAAAGTTCTAGAAACATCTACAATGAAGGAATTCCAACACCTTTTAGAGTTGTGGCAGCATAGTTGACAAAAGGGGAGGAAAAAGCTAATTCAGACCCATGTGCCCCGGTAGGTTGTTAAGTGGCACTGTGATCCCAGCTCATCGGTTTGTGTGCCATTTGGGGCCTGAGCAGCACTGCTTCTAACATTCCCTCGGGCACATCAAGGCAGTGCCTGGGTCTGTACCTTCCAACCAGCTCTATGGGAGGGAAAGCCAAATATCCACAAAACCTGGACCGTGGCTGAGATCAGAGGCAGGGCGGGGAGGGAGCTAAGGGGGCCCTGAGGGCCGCAAGGTCAGAGCGGTAGGATGAGGGCGGAGAGAGGTCTCTGAGGAGGAGGCAGACCCACGAGCACAAGGAGCCTGGGGCAGGGAGGAAGGGGTGAGGGGAACACAGTGGAAAGGAAGTAGGTGTGTGTTTATAGTGTTGTATAATCTATGGCAAACATGACGTCGAAATGTTACTTATCACTCAGTTCCAAGGAGCTTGGGTTTAAATAGTCAAACTATCGTCACTGATATAATTGCAAGGCATTAACATCTTAGCAAAACATCACATCTGTGTGGCATTTAAAAATGTAATCTGCACCTCTTTAGAACCCTAGAGTGGGAGGCAGAAGCCCAGTGTTTACTCCTTGCTGTGGTTCTCACTTGTTGTGTGGTCCTGGGCCAGCAAGTGACCTAACCCCTGTTTCAGCTTCATTCTACACAAAATCGGAAAACGAAGAAAAGTTCTTGTTATGGGTTGAATTGTGTCCCCTCGCAAAAAAGATGTTGAAGTGGTAACCCCCAGTACCTGCGAATGTGACCTTATTTGGAAATAGGGTCTTTGAGTTACGATGAGGTCTTTCGGGTGGGCCTACTCTGATAGGACTAGTGTCCTTATAAAAAGGGGACGTTTGGCTATGAAGGCAGATGTGCACACAGAGAGAGTGCCAGCTGAGCACCGAGGCAGAGCTGGGGTGGTGATGCGTCTATCAGCCGAGGAAGGCCACCAATCGCCAACAACCACCGGTATGAGGAGAGAGGCACAGAACAGATTCTCCCTCATAACCCTCAGAGGAACCAACCCTGCCAACACCTTCATCTTGGACTTCTAGCCTCCAGGATTGTAAGACAATAAATCCCTATTGTTTAACCCACCCAGTTTGTGGTATGTTGCTCCAGCAGCTCTGGGACCTACCTCCCAGAATAGGATCAAATGAGCCAGCAGATATAAAATCACTTTGGGGGGATAAGGGAGTACAAAAGGGTAGACAAGCATAGGAGAGAGTTAGTAGCAGCTTCCTGCTGCGGGATGACTCAGGCAAGGGTGCCTGGCAGCGTGAAGTCACTTCCATAGGCTTTTTTCATCGAGCACGTTTGTTTGTTTGTTTTTTTCTTTCCCCCTCAGACACTGCTCTGAGTAGAGTAGGCTAGGTCACGAAATGAAAATACAAGTTTGTCCATGTTCCACTACCCTATTCTAAAAGTCCTGTGATTCTGGAACCATTCTGGGATCCAGGGCCATCCATCAGCAAAGCTGACATGAACGGGTCTGTCCTGGGGGCCTCCTGCCTTTTTCCTGGGGATTCCTCACCTCGGCTCTTGGGAACTGCTCAGGTTCCCAGGGTCCGGTAAATGATTTCACGTTTTGCTGTTACTGACTGCATGGCCGCTCCTCTTGGAAGGACCCCCGGAGGGGGCAGAGTTGTCCTCCGAAAGGAGCGACCTTTCCCAGAGCACTGGTGTGAGGCCTGCGAGGGGCGGAGCCGCGGGCACCTGTGCGCAGGGCGGCTGTGGCGGCTGCGTGAACAGCGACTGTCCGGTTACTTACAGAAATGTCGAGCTTTTCCATCTTGGATTTGGGGTTCCTCTTGATGGACAGGATAAGGAAAGTAGCCCCATCTGTGCTTATCTGGTTCAGAAAAAGCTGTGGGAAGAGGGGCAAGACAGGAGGAGGCTAAGACGGGGAGAGGAGAGGCTGGCCCAGAGCGCGGCTTCCATTTCTTTCCATCCAGCCACAGTCTCTGTCTTCCGCCCGGACTTCTCTGTAAGCACCTGTCTCCCTGGCCATCCGTCCATCTTACTGGTCATCCACCCACCCACCCACCCACCCATCCACCTCCTGCCTACCCACCCATCTATCCAACGAGCTCTTATTGGGAACTGCCATGTGCTGGTTGCCGGGTGAAGAGCAGAAGGGGGCACAGGCAGAAGCGAGAAGAGCTCTACTCTCAGGCAGCTTACGTTCTAGAGAAGGACACGGGCAAATACGTACATGGCAGCAGGAGTTCGATGATGATTGTGACAGAGGCACACATTGGTATTGCCGGACAAGGACAAGGGCATCCAGGACAGACGTGAGGACAACTGAACAAAGCCTTGCAGGAGCAGTGGGGATTAGTGAGGCATGGAGAAGGCGTGGGGGTGAGGGCAGGACCAGAGGAGAGAGCAGATGCAGAAAGAAGACAAGGGTGAGCCAGTGCCAAGGAGCAGAGGTATCTGGGCAGTAGCAAATGTTTTGTGAGCAGGAGCAGAGAACACGAGGCCGGAGAGCTGGCCAGACCACACAGGGCGTTGTGGGTCCAGCTAAGTACTCAGGGCATTATCCCAACAGGACTGGGAGCCATGGACGCGTGGTGGAGAGGCTAGCAGCTGGGAACATGGAGCCCAGAGGCTCTGCCTCCTAGCTTTCTGGCTTTGCGTTAATTCCCCGACCACTATGTACCTATCACCTAGGGCTGCTGTGAGGTTTCAATAAATCGATTCAAGCAAAGCATTCAAAAGAGTGCTTGGTAGATAGTAAGCAGCCAATGAATGTTAGTTGTTGTTGTTGAGGACTTTCAGCTGGGTGGCTTCATGATGAGGTGGACCAAAGCTTTTATTGAGCACCTTACTCTGTGTCGGCTGTTTCCCAGGCTCTGACGCATTCCAGTGAGAAAGGACCGACTTGCGCCCTGCCCTCACAGGGCTGAGCATCTAGAATTCTTTGCTTGCCTCACTTCCCAGAGGGAATTATGTTTCCAAGATGAGGGAAAGGAGGGCTGGTGCTGGGCATGGAGGAATAATTCCAGCGGCAAAATTGATGTGGCCTCCGCCTGGGACCCAGCTGAGAGTTACAATTTCAGCTTTTATCTTTCTCACTTTTAAAACATTTTTAAAAACTAAAATATACTTACTATACTTGGTCATTGTAGGAAAAACTTAAAGGAGGTCCAAAATGTCCAATTCCCCTATATCCTCATAACCAGGAACAGCCTTTGCTGCCATTTTGTTGAGGCAACTTTTCAGTCTTCTAAAATCAGGTTTTCCCACTTTCCTTGGCTTCCCTGGCCACTGAGGCGGGGTCAGCCTCTCTTCTCCGAGGTCCACTGGGTCCCACCCCTGCTAGATGGAGCCTCCGCTCTCCTGGTCTCTTGAGGGCCAGCTGGTCTGGTCTGGTCTGGTCTCTGGGCACCATGTTCCCTCTCCTGGTTACAATCTGACTTCCTCTTGTCACCCTAGCAGCTCTAAGGTGGTTGTCCCTTCCGATGGCAGCTCATTTTCACTGATTCCTACCTGCTATTCTTCTTACACCAGGACCCCCGTCTCCGTGGTCCCCCAAGCCACCCCCACATCTCGCGGGAGTTGGAGTTGCAGTGGAAAAGCCAGATAACACAGATTTCCCTCTGCCCCCTGTTGGCTGTGTGGCCCGAGCAAATCACTTAGTCTCCGTTTTCCCTCTGACAAGTGGGGAGCCCACGTTGGAGGGTTGGGCTGGGAGGGAGGAGGCAGATCACCTTACATAGGACCTGGCTCATGGGAGGAGCCCCAGAAGGGGAGCCTCATCTTTCATCTGTTTTCCAGCTTCCCAGAGGCTTCTACGTTATACATTCGCATCTATAGGCAAATTAATTAAAAATGATATATGTGTTCATTCATTTACTAAAAATTCACTGGGTGCCATGCTGGGTACAAGGGGTATAATGATAGGCAACGTTTAACACAATCTTTGTTGTCATGAAGCCCTCACACTACTTGAAGACAGACAGTCGTTCAAATGAGAGTGTCAGGAGAAACTTGGCCAGTTCCGCGTGGAGGGGTGAACACGGCTCTGCGGCTCCGGGAGGGGTCCCAGGGGTCCCAGGGGTCCCTGAGGAACTGTCACTGGGGCTCTGCTCTGCGGCAGGAAGAGATTATGGCCTGTGGGGACAGCAGCTGGGGAGAGAGCACTGCAGGCCCCAGAGAGGCCCGAGCAAGGCCCTGGCAGGACAAAGGAGGCGATAGGAGGCCCTGAGGCCCTGCAGGGGAGCAAGGGAAAGCGTGGGGTGGACTGAGGTCAGAGAAGCACACGGGGCTGAGAGAACTGGGTGTGACCAGGAGGAGCTCATGGGGGAGGGTCTAAGGTGGAAGATGGTAGATGTGGGAAGGGTGGAAGTCAGATTTATGCTCAAGAGCCTGAAGGACATTCAAATGGGAAGAAGGAAGACCATTTAGGCGACTACTGTGCATGCAGCCAGTGAGAGCAGAGGGTGACATTGGGTTTACAGCACAAGGCAGCCAAGACTATATGTACATGTGAAGCACAAGGAAGTTCTTCCCAAGGATTCTCTTGAGTAACATCCAGCCCCATCACCCTGCTGCCTCGATCCCAACAACCACTGACACACACAATACACACACAAAAGGCCCATTCCTAGCTAGGTAACGACTTCACCTTCAGAACTGTGAGGCTCTCATTGAATTCCAGCCCTCTGCTGATTTTGGAGACTCCTTCGTTGCTGATGTTATTGCTGCTGACATCTAGGTAGGCCAGGGAGCTGTTGAATCTGAGGACCTCCCCCAGGGCTGAAGCCCCCTCGTTCCCAAAGCCATTCATGGAGAGGTCCAGTTTCTTCAGGGTCACGTTGGCCTCCAGGGTGAGGGGAGAAGAGCCAGCATCAAGGCTGCATTCTTCCCCTGCTGGCATCCCGACCGGGAGCTCAGTGGTTCCCCGAGAGGGGGCTCTGCCAGACCTTTCCGATCCCTCTTGGCTGGGCTCAGAGGCTCAAGTATTCTTGAGACTCATTCCTTTTAGGGTCTACTCCTTCCCTGTCCCGTAACAAAACTTCTCTCTTGAAGTACCCCCAAAGATGCCCCCTAGGCCCTAGCAGGGTGAATTTTCCTAGATAGAAGTTATACCAAAGAATAACGTGCATCCAGGAGTTGTGAGAGGGAGACCGCCAATGCGAAGAGCACTTGATGAGAGCTCAGTCTACCCTCGTCAGTGGTGACCATGAGGAAGAGGTTGAAGGTGGAGGGGTGGGACCTCTCCCCACTGCCCCGTGCCCCACCGGCTCAACACATCACTCCCAGGGGGCGCCTCACCCGGAGACCACTGCACAAGGCCACAGCTGCCCGTGAGTAGAAGTGATTCCAGCTCAGATTCAGCGACAGGAGGCCTACATTGAGGGCTGGAGGAGAAGGGGGGTCAACTTAGCATCCCTTGAGTCCCAGAGAACCCACTCTCAGGGCTGGCAGAATCCATGCCATGGGGGGTAAGGATTGCTCAATGCTCATGAAGATTAAAATGTTACGGAGGTAACATTTTTCAGTTAGTCATTTAAACACAAAATCATAGGATGATTTCTAATGCTGGTAACGGTGAAGTAAAATAATCATGCTCATATATTGCAGGTGGCAAGCAAGTTAATATGATCTGTTTGGCAAATATCACTTGGTCACAGATATTTTCCTGTTAAAATGCGTGTACCCAATCACACAGCATTATCACCTGTGAGACTCTTCATAAGGAGACAGGACGTGAGAAGAGCTACATGCTTGTAGATGTTTGCTATGGCATCGCTTATAAAAATACGGCTGTGTCTCACAGGGGGCGGGTAAAACACATCAGCATAAATATCCATCAGGTGAAATGTTATGCAACCATTAACGTGGATGGAGGCAGCCGGGGTCGCACAGGGAGGTTGTGATGGGCATGGCACATTACGTCACGTGATGTTGTTTCCCTGGAGACCTGCGGGAGCAGCGGTGGCTCCAGAATTTCTGCCCTGGAGCGCTTTAGGGACACAATCCGTTGGAAGTAGTGAGGCACAGGCTTGTTCAGAAACCAGCTCTGCATAGACACTGCACTTTATTTTTTAAAACTTAAAGATGCTTTTGCTTACATGCTACATAGCGTTGGGAAACTGTCCTATTGAAACACATTGTCGTTATTTTTATTTGGGGAGGGCAGATATGCTGAGGACTCTGTGGAAGTAGAGTCTAAACCACTACTGAAGCTTTACTGAATGGAAGGAATTCAGTAAACACAGGAATTCAGGCCCAGGAAAATACCTTATTCTATTTTTTTTTCCATTTTGTTTTTAAATGGACGATGTACTGTGTACCTTTCGTGTCTCTCTCTGTGCCAAATGCCAGGATGTATTTTCAGTTAAGTATACAACACCTTATATTATTTTGAGAACAAAGTTTCTCCCTTCCCCTCTCTCCGTTCCTCTCTTTCTCTCTCATTCTCTTTCTACACTTATTTTCTCTTGTTCGTCAATTCCCTCACTTAGTTATACCTTGCACGCCTGCTTCTCTTAAATAGCCACAAAATTTAAACTTTAATTCTGTTCTCACCGCTCTCTCACTATGTGATCTTAGGCAGGTTACTTGTCCTTCTCTGACCTCTGCTTCTTCTTGGTAAAGTGGAGATATTAACCTGTGCAAGGGTTGCTGTAAGGATCGATGCCAAGTGCCTGGCATGGCGCATGTCACATGGTAGTCACTTGATGTTTGGAAACTTTAATAATAATCATTTTAAAAGCTGTGTATACAGTGTGACTATTACCATTTAAACCAGAATGTTGTCTCACTTTGATTTTATGTTTTAAAGATTAAAAGTTTTCAAGTATTTGAAAATAAGTTTCCGAGTGGGGACTCAGACTGGCCAGCAATTCTTTTACGCTTTGGTTCTCCTCTCCTCAATGCTCTTTTGTGCCTCCTCTGCCCTCCTCAAGGCTGCCAGCTTGTACCCCGCTCTCAGCTGGAGGCCTGGGCTCTCCTGCAGGCAGCAGTGAGATGGGAGGGCTTCGTCCTGCCCACCACTGCCAGCCGACCTGAGCTTGCACCCGCTCTTGGCCTCCTCTCTCCTGCAGTGGGTGAAAGGTCCCTACTGCTCTCGGAGGCAACCCGCCATCTTTGTCCTGGATGCCATTGCTTCCAGTCTTTTCAAGGACTTTGCTCCTGTATCGCCTCCTTTTTCAGCATCATTGGTTTCTTCTTTTCCTCTCTCAGAATTTTCCATCCTTAAAAACTTCCCTGTCTTCCCTGTCACCTCATCTTTCTGTTCCAGCCTTGTCCCATTGGAGCTTCTGAGTTGCCTATGTTGCCATGGGTTCTTTGTTTCCCATTTTCAGCTCAAGCCACTTGACCCACTCCAGCTAGGCTTCCACACTCACTTCACTAATACAGCACTTGACCCGGCTGAGCACTCTTCCCTTCTTGAAATACTCCCTCATGTGGCCCCTTGATGCCTCGCTTTCCCTCCTATTCGACTGATCGCTCCTCAGGCTCTTCCTTCTCCTCTGCGACACCTAAAAACGTGGGAGTGACCTGGAATCCGTGTGATGGCCACCCGCTCAACTCTAGCTACACTCCTGGCCTAGATGATCTCACCTTGTCCCATGGTTTTAAATACATTGACATGCCTTTGGCTCCCAGATGTATTGGTCCAGTCCTGACCAAGCTCCAAACTCACATAGCAAACTGCCTGCCCAACATCCCCCATGTGTGTGTTGAACAGGCATCGTCAACCTGACATGGCCTAACTGGAAGTCTTTGCTCCTAACTCCTGCCCCTCTAGACCGGTGACCCCCTGGGTTTTCCCCATCTAAATAAATGACACCTTTACCCAACCAGCATCTGAAACAGGAAAGCTTTCCCTTTCTCTTGCCCTCGCTCTTCACGTCAACAAGTCCTTTTGCCTTTGTGGTGGTACCGCAGTACTCATCGTTATTTCCTTCCGAAACTTGTGGCGAGTGCCGACACTGACGAGCACCGAGGAGGCGATGAATGATGAAGCATTTTCTGTTGCGGGGTGACATCATGACTTGTACAAGTTCTAGCAAGTGCGATGAGTCCCGAGCAAGTGCCCAGTGCTGAAACATTTTTTTTTTCTTGTCAAAATGTGACAAGTACCAGGTTTGATGAGTTCTGAAGCTGATGAGTACAGAGGTACTTCCAGAATATTCTCTGAATCCATCCACTCTACTCCATTACCACCTGCTCCCAGAGGCCAAGCTATTATCCTGTCTTGCCTAGATGACCACTGGAACCTCCTAAGCCACCTCCCTCCTTCCATTCTTGTCCTCCTCAGCTGCATTCTTCATACAGGAGGTCTAGCACTGCAAATCAAACCGTGCCATTTGCCACCTCCACATCCTTCAAAGACTTCTCATCACATGTAGAATAATATCCAGACTTCGTGTATGTCCGAGTCCACAAAGGCCGATGTGGGTGGCTGCAGGCCACCTCGGTGACCTTTCCTCTGTCCATTCCCCTCTCCAGTGCGCTCTGCTCCAGCCACCCCGCTCCCCACCTCCTTGCCAAGTTCCTCAAACCTGCCAGCCCCCATTCTCTCTGCCTGGGATGCTGAGCGCCCAGAACCGAGCACGGCTGCTTCTTCAATCACAGCCAGGTTGCAACAGAAAGCCGCCTTCCTTGTGGGCTTTCTCCCACCACCCCACTGAAATTAGCACCCCATCCCCCTTCCTAAGAGTGTCCTCCCTTTGTCTACTTCTTTCCCCAGGGATGAACACTTAGGTTCTTTCCACTTTTTTGCCTTTATAACAAGTTTGCTATTAACCTATTTAGACGTGTGTGTGTGTGTGTGTGTGTGTGTGTGTGTGAGAGAGAGAGAGAGAGAGAGAGAGAGAGAGAGAGGAGAGAGGGAGGGGGAGGAAGGGAGGGAGGGAGAGAGGGAGAGATTGCTTCTCGGAGGCATGCAGGGATGAACTGCTGCATTTTAGAAAACACACACTTTCAATTTTACTAAATACTGTCAAATTGCTCGCCAAAGTGCCTTCACCTAGCAGCTTCTGAGTGTCCTTATTTCTCCCCTGTGTTCACTGCACTTTATTTTCTTTGACTTGAAAATTTTAGAGTTTTGGTAGATGACCAGGGGGAGTCTTTTTGTTGTTTTATTAATGGCATTTTTCCAATTACTAATGAGATTGGGCATTTGGCTTTCTTTTCTTCACTGTCCATGTGCCTTGGCCATTGTGGGGTTTTGTGTGTGTGTGTGTGTGTGTGTGTGTGTGTGTGTGTGTGTGTATCATTGTTTAATTGATCTGTAGGATCTTTTTCAACATTCTGAACACTAATCTTTTATATTATACAATGTTGCAAATGTCTACCCCTGACTTGCTTGTCTTTTAACGTTGCCTTACAATGTCTTTTATTATCCCCAGTTTTAAACCTACTGTTGTCAAATATACGGATCATTTTTGTTATTGTTTATACTCATTGTGCATATGTAATAATCATTAGCCTCCCTGAGGTCAGCAAGTTATTTCTCTCTACATGTTCTCCTAATCATTTAAAACTTTTACTTGCCACATTTAAAATGTATTTTGGGTCCAGTTTATATCACTTTCATAAACAGAACACTCAATAACAGTAAAAACAGGAGATGCAGCCCTGACAAGTGATTGTTTGCCAAGTCCCCCGTCCTTTGCTGGGCCCCTCCCTCCATGGGCACTCACCCAACATTTGTCCCAAGAGCTCCCCTCCCTTGTCAGAGAATTGGTTGTGACTGAGGTCCACTTCCTTAATTCGGTAATTGGCCTAGAGAGAAAAACCAGGGGGGAGAGAGGTGATAAGGGACTTCTATGTGATTGCAAATGCAAGTGTGAGGGAGGGCTCCCATATACCCAAAGTTAGGGGGACCAGGGTTCTTACTCTGAAGACAATTTCTTGCTCATTTTCTGTTTAACTGTTGCTGACACCTGGGAGAGTTTATTGCCATCCAAACAGCTCTACCACTTGCTGTGGCTTTGGCCGGGATTAGCAGAGTCCCAACATTCACTCACTCCCTAAACCATGCAAGTGGCCTCATCTTCCTATACCCAGAGGCACCCCCGGGTCCCCTAGATCTCCAGGGACATCTCCCACATGGCTAGGCTGTACCATCGCCCTGCTTCTTACCGACAGAGCCATGCACAGCATCTCTGCCGATTCGTCCTTGAAGTTATTTCCTGTAAGGAAGGACCGTGTTAGGAATACTCTCCAGGCTAGGGCTCCCTTACCCTCCCATAGCCTAGCTCTGCCAGGCTCTTCCCTCTGGAACAGTCAGATGTAGAGAAGATGACAAGTACTTAAAGCAGAAATATGGACACAGAAGAAAACAGGAGGAAAAAAGGCAACTCTTTACCACCCCCGTTAACGTCCCCTTCTTGCTCTGCTATGGCTGCCCAGGAAGCTCCAGGGGTTGGCACACTATACCCTGGGCATTACCGGCTGCATCAAAACCTGGCCTAGTGCCTGAAGCCTGTAATATGATGAAAATGCTAACGCAGTCTAAATGGCAGAGATAGACCAGAAGGGGACAAGTGTGGCATTCGCCTTTGTGTACAAAGTCTAAGGGGCGCTGAAAGGCTCAATAATCCCAATGAATAACATCTTACCATTTAAAAAGTAAAAATCAATGCAAAAACATCTATGATGAACATAATTTTCAAATTTTAAATAAGGGCAGGCTCTGACCCTGCAGTTGGATACCTAAGCCTCACTCATAGTGCCCCCATCTGTCCCTTTCAGATCGTGTTTTTAAAGCGTTGATATTTTATTCATTGCAGGTTATTTTTGTATTGATTCTGGCTTTTAAAAATGTTGTATCAAATATTATCTACTTAGTTACTGAGCTTTTTGGTGTCCCCGAAATTGTGCAAGTGAGGTGAGTGCCTCCCTTGCCTTCCCCGAGCCCCAGCCCTGTGAAACAGTCTAAAAGCTTTCTGGCAAATAAATGACACAGAGGCTTATTGTCAAAATTCTCCTTTGAACCTTTAATCATCTTTGTATCTCTAGCATAAACAGTGCTTGGCACATAACAGGTGCTCAATACATGCTTACTGAATGAATGAATGAATGAATGAATGAATGAATATATCCACCGAGATACGAATACTTCTTCAGTTGTGTCTGGTACCAGTGCAATAAAATGACATAAAAAGCTAGTCAATGTATAAAATTAGGTAATTTTAGAATTCAGTAATTCAGGAAACACATTAGCTATAATTTGTTCAAATACTCTTGTTCACTTGTTCCCTTCTCCTTCTGGAACTCTTATGAGCTATATTGAGTGCATTCTTTTATATTATTTTATTTTTTATATTCTCTCTTTATCTTCTGCACTGCAAAGTTAGATAAAACATCCTTTTACCTGTCTCCCAGATCACTAATTTTATTCACCTATATCTAATATGCTGTTGAATTTATCCATGGAGTCTTTAATTTCAATGGTCATATATTTTTCATTTCTATAAGTGTTATTTGGGGGGAGATCTTTTTAAAGAGTTATATTTCTATTTTCGCTTTCTTAATCTATTAAATACAGTTTATAGTTGAGTGTAAGGTATCTGTTTGCTTGCAGTTTAACTGAATTAAAAGTGCTCCTATGCTGTTTGCGGATAAAGTATATGGTCACTCAATATATAGTGTGTATCTGATAATTACATTTTCTGAGGTCCTTATGAGCCCTATGTTGTCGCTTGAATCTGATAACTCTCACAGTGTTTTGTTGCCTCGTTTTGCCATTTTGGGCTGTGAGCCCATCTTTAGGACAGCTTTGTCTGTGGGAATCCCATGCAGCACAGAGTGTGGGTCTAGGTGTTGCTCCTCGAAAGAGGTTTTATGTTTGCTTCTGTTGCATGCTTCAGGGTATTACCAGCTAAGGATCACTGTGTGTGTTAATTTCTCATTTTAGGGATGCCAGGACCCTGTGGGCGGTATAAATTGAGACCCTAAACCTGAGTGAGGGAAGGTCTGTGGGTACTAGGATTTTCAATTGATTTTTTGTTTACTGTGAGACAGATAATAAACAAGTTAAAAACAGGTATACAACAGGGGGTCAGGTAGTAATAAACGTCATTAAGGAAAACCAAGGAGGGAAACAGGATAGAGATGACCTCTGAGCTGAGATGTGAATGAAAAGAGAGTGAGTCACGCAGAGGTGTCTGGGGGGGAAGAGACTTTAAAGCAGAGGAAGGAATGTTGCAAAGAGAATCCGGAGTGGAGTGTCCGGGAAAGCCAGGGGGCCAGCGTGGTCGTGGGGCGGGGCGAGGCAATGGTGGCTAAAGGGCTCAGCCGGGTGCAGGCACAGCGTTCTGATCTCTGATAGCAGAAGGGCAGGCCTGTTCAGTTCAACTTTGATTCTCTCTGCTCTTCGCCTTCTTCTTTTCTCCTTCTCATTCCCAACGTCCTCTCCCTTCTCTTCTGTGGGCTCACCTGACAGCTGAAGTTTCAAGAGCGAAGAGGAATTTTTCTGGAGAAACTGTGAGATGATTCTGGCTCCCTCAAAACCAAGAGCATTGTTGGAAATATTCTAAAGGGCAAGGAAAAACAGTTACGTGCGTACAAATCCCAACAAAGGAACCTCATCAGTAAATGAGGTCAGGGTGGGCCTGACTTGAGACCTACACTAAGGGAGTGGGGTCTCAGTGGGGAGGGGTCCTGAGGTGAGAGGATGGGAAGGGTTAGCATGGTCCGAAAAGGGGGAAGAATGATAGGAGCTAGGCTTTTCCAATGGCTTGCTGCGAGGTCCTCGGGCTGGTCTTAGTTCCCTCTGAAGTTAGGTTCAATGATGCCCCACTTCCACAGTTTAGCTCTGGTACTTTAGATAAGCCCACTGCAACTTTTTTGAAACCCAAGTCAGCTATATTTGAAGAGTTTGGCATAAAACAGTTGAAAAGTGAGTTCAGAGTAAATCATCACTCATCAATTCCATTCACTGATTCAGGAAGCATGAATCACTGTGCAGGGAAGGCTAGCGGGAGGGACTTTGTAAAAATCCACCACTATTATCTTACATTTTTTTTTACTGTGGCAAAACAGACATAGTACAACATTCACTATCATAACCATTTTTAAGTGCACAGTTCAGTAGACTTTAGTATATTCATGTTGTTACACAATCATCACCATCATCTATCTCCCAGCACATTGTATTTCAGAAAATTATTTCCCATGTTTACTTTTAAATTTTACTTTAAGGCAACTGCACAGAAGTAAACTCATCTATTTAGCGGTTTATGATGTCCAAACAGAAGCAGTTTTTAGGGTTTCCAACAGCCACGAGGGGCCCCCGCACTCATGGCAGAAGCCTGGAGGCTGGCCTGGGCTCGGGCCGGGGCCTCCAGAGGGCTCTGAGACCCCAGGTCTGGTGGCGGGAGCCAGCAAAGCAGGCACAGTACCAGCTCCTGGAGGTAGTAGTTCTCCTGTAGCATCTCCACCAGGCTCAGCACCCCCTCCTCCATGATACAATTGTCTTCCAGCTCCAGGGAGACCACAGTCGTGTTGGACTGCAGCCACGATGGGGGGATGGGGAGGAAGAGAAAGACAGAGGTGGTTGGTGGTGGCCTAGTCCGTTCCAGAACCTGACCTTTCCCAGAACCTGTCCCCTCTCTTGAACATCCCAGCCATGTTAAAGGGTATGGAGATGCAGGCTAGCAATTTTGGAGGTGTAGATAGGAACAGGAGAATAGTGCAGGAGCTGAGCAATCCCACAGTGGCTAAGACAACATGGGGTTTGGGGGGCGGGCAAAGCTGGGTTTCAGCTGTGAGTACGTGAAACAGAGTTTTTTCTTGCATTATTATTATTTATTAATTATTGTACTATTTGTAGAGTATTACAACTGTATACCTACTGTTGCCTACCCCTGTATGCTTATATTTTATATTTATATTTTAGACGCATATTTTCTAGGGCAATATGCTTATCCTGGGCACCTCAACCTGAAAGGGGCTCTGCAGGGGAACTTAGGAGAGGAATATTCAAACAAAGCCCTGAGAGGTAAGAGGTACAAGGGGGAGCAGAATATATTTTAATTATTTAGGCTTGAGGAGAGAGGCTTGGGACCTACTCCAAGATTAAGGGGAACCCGACACATTTACTAAGAGCATTTAAGCATAAGGCTTTAGGCATAAAGCATCTGCTGCACCTGCTCCCATCAGAAACTTTTCTTCTTGTTTAGGCTTCGGGCATATCTGGTACCTTCTTTTAGTTAGGACGTTGCCTTGGGTTGTTTGGAAGGAGCTGAACTTAAATCTTAAATGTCTAGAGCCAAGCTAGTCTGCATTCCCACAGGGAGGAAATGGCTGGCCTCGAAGCATGAGGGACTGGGGTTAGCTCTAACCAGAACTTGCGTTCTTCCTTTTCCCACCTCGTTCCCAGTGCAGAGAAGCACAGAGAAGAGGCGCATCTTTGGAGGCGAGCATTTTCAAAGCACACCAAGCAGGGAGAGCAGCAGCAAGCAGTAAGGAGCTCTAGCTCCAGAAAAAGGGAGAATGAGACAGTGCAAGTTACTGCAGTTGGGGACGGTCCACCCAGGGCCTTCATGACACATCTTCTGGTCTCAGCTCTCTGGGATGGGCAACACTCCGCTGTGCTCAAAGTCACGGGGATAACTCAGGTGGCCTCAAGTCTAGGGGTCACTTAACCGTGTCCAGACATGGGTCAGATGACCACTTCCAGAGTCACCCTGGGAACCGAACACTGTGTGGCACATTGGGCAGCTGATCACGGAGTCCATCCACATGCATCTCGCACGGCTGAGTATGTACTGGCCACCCCCTGTGCTGACCGCTGGGGAAACAAGATGACTGGAGACGCCGCTGCTCTCCAGGGGCCTGCGCAGCCCCGAGTGCAGGGGCGTGGAGAGAGGTGGTTGAGGAAGGGAAGTGAGGAAGCGTGAAATGGAATCCCTTATATCAGGATGCTTTTCCTCCATGGCAGGTAAACGAGGCATGTGAGCACTTACGCAGCACCGAAGAGAAATAAAACTGAGTCCACCAGAATGTCGCAGCAATTAATTGTCAAATGAGTGATATGGAGAATTGAGGAAGGAAAAAACTCCCCACCCCTCAAACAGGAACTGCTGTCACCAGGAAACACATGGCCCAAGTCCTGAGAGGATTTCATTATCATCCTTTTTTTTTAATTCCATGAAACTCAGGAGGTAATGGTGCATTCGTAATACTTCATTAATCAGCCTTTCAATGCTCAATAAATTTCAAGATGGCTTTGTTCTTTCTCTCCTCTCCCCTTCCTTTCCTCCCTCTCCCCAGAAAGCAGCACAATCGTACATTTTATGTAACTTCTTAATGGGCATGAGCTAAATGCAAATGCTGTTAGATTTCCAAAAATGAGCGAGGGCTTTTTCTTTTTTTTTTAAGTTGAACTTTCTCTTCACTGTCCTAAGTGAATAAAAAATGTAGTGCTGACATACAGTTGTGAAATTTTCTGTTTTCCTGGGATGGGAATCAGTTCTGTACATAATCAGTTAGAATTACATAAAGCTACGATGAATTCAAGGCCAAGTCTGTGTTCACCAATGCCAAGCCAAGAGAGAACATTATTCCTATGGGAAAACATGATCCACTCTACAGTGTGATCTTTAAGAATTACAACATTGCAAAGGTAGACATTGAATGGAATGGCTTAGGAGTAAACTCATTCGTAGCAAAGGTGAGCTTTGGAATTGAGACCCTGGCTGACATTTTGTATTTTTCTCACAGCCCAGACAATTTTCTGGGGCTCATGGGCTGGTGCCTTTGTTTCCTGCAAAGGAAAAGGGCATAAACTGCCAAGGCCCAGGTCTCTAACAGACTCCTTCCTAAAACCTAGTGGGGAGTCCATACCTGTTGGGGAAATTGGCAGTCAAGCAGGAGTCTATGGCATAAAGGATAGGCATAAAGGATGCAACTGGAGCTCCCATGGGGGTCTCTCTGATTCTTGGCCCACCGCCCTGTCAACCTCCCACCTCCGCCAGGTTCCCTGTGCCTCCACTGGCATGCTCACCACCAGGGCTATGGCAATAGCTTTGGTCCCGTTGGGGCCCAGCCCGTGGTGGTTGAGGTTTAGGAAAGATTCTTCCATGTTCCGGATGAAGTAGGAGACGGGGACTACACCCACCAGTTTGCAGGCCTCTATGTACAGCTCCTTTTGTCCAGTGGTGAACAATTTCTCAGTATCTGCAGAAAAAGATGCAAATGGATGAAGCAGCGTGTCTCTTCTGCCTTTGCCTTATCTCCCTTCCAACCCCTGGCCCCGTTCACTTCTGAGGCTCTGTCCCTAGGGGTGCATGCTTAGAAGGCAGCTCCAATTGGAAAGCCAGCCAGCAGTGGGGAGGGAGACGCTAAGACCAGAAAGCCTCAAATGGACATGTCCCTTTGGGGAAGAGGCAAGGCCCCTGGGTTTAGGCTTCAAACTTTCTTATGAGAAGGAGCCCCACCCCAACCTTCCTGGGCTGGACGCCTCCAGTGATTGATCACCAAGGATGTGTGAAGGCTGAGGTCTCCTGCTCACCTGAGGGCAGCTCGGAAAAGCCAAACAGTCAAAGAGCTGGTGATCTGGGATGGCTGAGGGAATCTCCATCTCAGTATTAGTTTTGCTACCACCGTTAAAATGTGAGCCATAACAAAAGCATTACTGAAGATTTAGAGAAGTACCAAGGAGGACAGAGTGGGTTTGTCAAGGTGGCAAATCAGTGCAATCTGGAGAGACCCTCAAATCAAAATCAGCCAGAAACAAAGAAACTTGCATGTGAATGGGCTTTCTTCTCTCAAGGACTTGCATGTCACTGTTCCTGTAAGAAGGGCTGTCATCTCTACCATTGACAAATCTAGCTCCAAATTACCCACAGCTGCTCAGTGGCAGAGCCAGCAACAGAATTAGGGCCCTCACTTCTCCATTCCAACCTCTTGGAGCCTTTGTTTTGTAGGCTTTAGACCATCCTGGCTTGTGGGCAGTGGGCCTGCCTGGCTTCCGGAGGCCCCCGCAGCTGCGTCTTCATTAGGCAAGGCCCATCGATGGCAACCTTTCCCGTGGCCAGCTGGGGTCCAAGCCTGCATCTGTTTTTCCTTTGGATCCCAGGGCCTTTGGCCAACCCACCCCGAACATTTCTAAGATGGACAATGGGAGCTTTGTTGATGACAGGACAACAGCTTGACAAGGGAGTTGATTTTGCAGGCACAGCTACGCACTGGCCTTCTCTTTGTGATGGTTGTAGAGCAGGGTTTCTCAAGCTCAGCACTGCCGATTGACGTTTGGTGTAGGACAGTTCGTTGTGAGGGGCTGTCATGTACCAGGTAGGGGATTTGGCAGAATTCATGGCCTCTGCTCAGGAGATGCCAGTATTATCCCCCGCCCCCATTTGCCAAATGACCCTGGGGTGCAAAAACACCTCTGAGTGAGAAGCACAGTTGTGTAAGAGAAAGAGCACGAGGTGAGCGAGCAACTTCTGTTCCCTTCTCTCCTTCTTTTGTAGCCTCACACCAGCTTGCTGTTCCTACCTGGGCTCATGTCTCAGGCCGTCCCAGGACGCCCTTCCTGCCTCAGCCCCAGCATCTCGGCACCAGCTGCAGGGGCACCAGGAGTGGAGATCCTGAGCCCCAAGTTTCTGTCTCAGCACAGAGTTGCCACCAAATTTAATCATTAGAGGTTCTTGTTTGCAAAGCAGCGTAGGCAGCCCCCAGCTTTGTCTTTGGCACTGACTCTGCTCTGTTTCATTCTGCTGACCCCTTCTAGCTGTATTCACCATGGTTATATTTCAGAGGCAGCTTGTGACACTGTTATCACTTGGAGGGAGTGGGGGATAAGGAAGAGGATGAGTAAAAGCAGGCGTCCCAGACAAAACATTCAGGGTCGCTATCTGCTGCATCTTCCAACCAGGTAATATTCAGGGTTGAAAGCAATGTTAGCAGCAGACTTCAAATGGAAAAGAAGTTGGAAAAAGAGCAAGAAGACATCCAAGGTGTGGCCAGGAGGTCTGTGTACAGGGTGACTTGGCCTCCTGTACAATTTAGCAGAACAGCCTCTCCTGCATCTCTGCGGCCCCTGCCCACTGCCCATGGCCCACGGCCCAGCCATCAGAACACAGGAGAGGAAGGGCCACGAGGCCAGCCTCTGCGGAGGAAGTTTGAGGCTGGCCCATCAGGTGGGACCAGGCTGTTCTCGCGTGGCCTCACAAGTTTCTCTGTGGCACTTCCCTCCTTGGGGAAACCAGAAGGCAGAGGACGGTGGAAGTGTTGTTTCCAGGAGCAGAATCTTTGCTGCAGCTCAGTTTCCCACCCTCAGTCCCCATACCCATGCCCTTGGATTTATCATGGTGTTCTCAAGTAGGGGAACAAGAACTCTAATGGGGTAGAGGAAAGTCACCGGGATACAGCATGGGCCACAAACACTCCAGGAGCCCTGGAATATGGACTATGGGAGGCAGATGGGCAGAGCAAGGCCCACTTCGGATCAGCGAACATCGGTAAGCTCTCAGTGGCCTTGGGCAACTCATACAATCTCTTTAAGCCTCAGTTTCCTCCTCTGTTATGGCAGGTAATAATGCCTACCTCCTGGGACTATGGCAAAGGGGATGCAAAATGCCACATGTGGAAACATTTGGAACACCTGAAACCCCTGTTCATTTACTAGTTCAGCTTTCAACAAGCTGATGTGACCACTCTGCTCATGAGCCAGGCCACAGGCATGGGCAGCTGCCACCACCGCCACCGGCAGCCACTGCCTCCAGCCTTGAGGAGGACATGGAACAAAATTGAGTGCAGGCATTTCTGCCACCTTCCTCCTGCAAGACAACCTGCTGGGCAGAGCCATGGCCAGCTGGGGAAACCAGGTGTCACCAGCTTCGGAGGATGGAGGCGAGCTGCCCGCTCACCGTACAAATGCTCGCTCTCACCTTCAACCTCAAGGTCTGTTTCTGAACTCTCTCGGACTGGTTTCTCTTTATCGACAACTGTGGGGGCTTCGGCCTCGCAGTAGAGCATTTCATCACTGCTCTGTGGTGTTGGCGGGGCTCCAGTCTCCTCTGGAAGAAAAACACATCGCCTTGATTCTGGAAATGGAAACTGTCAGCCTTTCAGGTGGACCCACCACTGGCTTCCCTCCACCCCTGCTCCCCTCCTCTGCATCCAGGATCCTGGCTGCAGCTTTTGTCCCCCAGCTTCACATGGCTCAGGATGCCAGGGGACTCCATTCTGCAAGCCCTCCCACCCCAGCACCGCTGCCTTCTGGCTCCCTAGTGTTCTCTGGGGACTTGCTGTCCTATTTCCAGTTTTGGGCCTGCCTTAGACATTGGTTTGATTCTGCTGACCCCTTCTAGCTGTATTCACCATGGTTATATTTCAGAGGCAGCTTGTGACACTGTTATCACTTGCAGAGAGTGGAGGATAAGGAAGAGAATGAGTAGGAGCAGGTGTCCCGGACAAAACATTCAGGGTTGCTATCTGCTGCATCTTCCAACCAGGTAATATTCAGTGTTAAAAGGAATGTTAGCGACAGACTTCAAGTAGAAAAAGAGTTGGAAAAAGAGCAAAAAGATGCTCCGTCTTTTCTTTCTTACTGGCTTGGGTAGGGTTCAGAATTGCTTTACTCTTTTGGGGAAAGGATGTGGGCCAATGCCTGGGCTCTCTCATTGGCAGGCACAAATGATGCTGGAGAAGGCAAGGGGCAGGGCAGGTGGCTCATTCAAATATAAAATAAACTGGAACAGGGGCAGTCCCAGGAATCAAGAGGGATAACTGGATTGCTAAGAATTTGACATAGTTTCTCTTCCTCCCAAGACAATATCTATTTTATGTCCATGAAGAAAGAAGGACTTGCAAAATCTCCCTAAGGTTGAAATTCATTGCTATGCCTAAATACACATGTCCTGACCTTCCCTCACTTGCTAGATGCGGGTTTTCTGCCACTGGGCCACTGATCTGGGACCAGTCATGGGCTCCTGAAAGCCACACATGAATGTTCAGGGCTCGTCCTCCTATATCAGCAGGAAGCAGTGGTTTGGAAACACCAGGCTGTGCTGCCAGGTGGCCCGACAGAACTCAGCCAGCCTATTCTATGGGTGGGCTGAGCATTCGTGGCAGGGGCCCCAAGTTTTGGCCACCCAGGCTCTAAGATGGGGGCTCCTAATGAGATGGCACGGTCTGTGTCTTTCTCAGTCCCTGTCCATAGACCCAGGCCCCAGTATTTATTTCCCAGCCTGTGAGACAAGGTCTATGTGATAAGAAGTGGCCAGCGGCTTGACAGAAGACATACAGCAGCTTAGCCAGCAGATTTAGCTATGGAGAAATGATGACCTTCTGGGTCTTAATTTCCTCATGAGTCAAACAATTTTAGAATTACATCCAACCAGTGGAACACTGGTAAATGTTTAACTGGCTCTCCAGAAAAAAAAGTCTTGATGAATAGTGATAGCCAATTCCAGTGATGTAAATGTTCCCAACATGGCTGATTTCAAACTATCAACATGATACCAACCAGATCAAAAAATGAAATCTGAAATTGGCTAGAACTGGTAGGAGCCAATGCCAGCACAACGTGCATTCAACTCTCTTACTCCATTTGGCAAGTCCTGAAGCCAAGTCAATGCAACATGTCATCCCAAGTCTCGAGGGTCCCAAACGAGAAGGGCACTGAGTTTCTGGGCCCATGTGATCAACGGGTGTTATACTGAGGTGGCCTGGAAGGGCCTGAGTGGTGAGGGACAGGATGCCTTTTCACCTGTTGTCTCAGACTCAAGAGGTTCATCATTGTCCATGGTGCCAGGGCCCTCTCAGGGGCTGCTGCCAGCTTCTTGCCACCTTTCCGCAGCTGCCCTAAGAAGCACACCTGTCCATTCACCTCTGCCTCACTTTGCGCACTGTAGCCTCGCATAGGCAGATCCCGTGGTTGGGGAGCGGGTGTAGTTATCCTTCTATCCCAGCAGGCCCTGGGGAGAGTGGGCTCTGGCGGGAATTGGCCACATATGGATCTGACCCCAACTCTGGGAAAGGTAGCTACTTCCCGGAATCATCAGGGGGAGAGGTGCAGCTCAATTCCTAGGAGCGCTGTCAAAAGGATGCACACCCGCCTGCAACTTTGTGACAACGGAGCCCCTTTCCTTTCATCCGCAGCATTCCATGACCTCACGCAGACATTGTGATCCATGTGAGTGGACCTGGCAACACCAAGCTTGCCACCCTCTTGGTGGCTCTGACAGTCATCTGTTTTCATACATCCGCTGCGGCCAAGCTGAGGCTTGGCTGGGATTACGCAGGTGCTGTGGGGGGTGTCTCTTAGTGGTGCTGTATTTCCCTCTGAGTCAGGACCGAACCCAAGTCCCTTAATCAGGTGACTGTGAAGAGCCGCCACCATGTTCTTCTCTCCAGGTGGTTGTGCTTCAGGTACGAAACATTTCAGTGATGGGTGAAGTCCATTTTCTCCTACCCAGTTCTCCTTCCTTTTTCCTTCCCCGCCCTTGGGAGAGTTACCTCAACCTTGAAGCAGAAGATCAAAAGCAAAGCACAGCAAACATACGTTCTAGCACTACAATTTGTTGCAGCCAAACCATTGTTCAATCCAAACTACTGGGCTGCCTAACTTGAAACCACTCAACCGTCATTCCCACGCTTGGCTGTTTTCACATGTCTTGGAGGTGAAGTTCACTTGCAGTTTACTGTCAAGAGAATCTGGAGGCATGTTTGTTCCTTCTTGATAAGCATTCAGCACATCAACGGTCAGGTCAGTGACTAGAGGGGCTCGGGGACATGACAATCCCTCTTTGCCACTCAGAAGAATGATGAAGATCTAAGAATTTGTGTAGGAAAAACATAGAACCTTAGATTCCCAGCCCCCTGCCAAAAAAATTGTAAATCTAAGATGCTACTCATTTCTTCAGGCATTCATTCTGAAAAATATTTATAGAGTACCTACTACGTACAAGGCACTAAGCTAGGCACTGTTGTCGGGAGGGGATGCAGATGTGACGAAGACATGAATCTTTCAGGGTTTACTATAGATAACAAGATAGAAATTGACAGGGCCTCCCCTAGAATATGAAGGTTCTCGGTAAATATTTTTGGCAGAGCTTCTGTTCACATAAACAGCTTGAGTCACCGTAAATCAGCATGATAACACCATTCTAGTGGCCCAATATCATGTGGTTCCTTGAAAGAAACAACAAAATGGCCAAGGGAGTGGTCAACTTTTGGCATAATTCGGTAGGCACGTGTCCTGGAGACCCTCAGATCACCTGGTCAACCCCACATTGATGCAAAGGATAAGAAACTGCCCTTAAAGGGAAGAATGGGGACCAGGGAATATATAGGTCTTGCTCTCAACTCTGCGTGCTCCTCCTGGTCAGGACCATGTGGTCTCAGGTACAACAGGTGAATTAGAAAATTTGGAGGGAAGTACTCCAAATAGCCACTTGGCACAGGCACTGCTGGCCTGGGTCTAAGGGCAGTACTGGAAACTGATAAGGGTCATGAGGGAGATTCTCTGAGAGTTCAAGGGAGGGTGAGGTTTCTTTATACTAGGGAGCCTTCATGGACTCTGGGCAAGTAGAGTCTGCAGGAATGACATTTCTGGGAACACAGAATAAAAGAAGGCAGCAGAGCCTGGAGTGGGTTTGGGGGAGTAAAGGCATGCGAGGTTTAGTGGGCAAATGGGAGGCCACAAGGGCCAAGGCAATTTCAGGGATAGATTTAAATGCAATTAAAAGACAATAGGGGGCCACTGAAAACTTTTGAATAGGAGTGTGATTTAATCAGAATTTTTCTTTACAACAGTGGACAGCAATATTTTTCTTTTTCTGCATCGGTCAACACTGGAGAAATAAAAGTATTTAAGGACCATAATTAAAAAAATTTTATATGTGTTTAAAAGTCATAAAATGTAATATCTGCAACCTCTTTTTATATTTTATTTTAAATTTTTTGCTGTTACTAAAGGGTATCTTTTTAAAAATGTTTTTATTTTGCAATAATTTTAGATTACATAAGAGTTACAAAACTAGTTGGGTTCTTATATACTCTTCACCCAGCCTCCCCTTAAAACATGGTACATAACCATAGAAAAATAATCAAAACTAATGCTATTAATTGAACTACACACTGTCTTTGTATTTTACCAGTTTTCCCACTAATGTTTCTTCTTTGTTCCAGGATCCAATCCAGGATCTCACATTGTATTGTTCACCATGTCTCTGTTAGTCTCTTCTAATCTATTACATTTCTTTGGTCATTGTCTTTTGCAGACTTGATGTTTTTGAAGAGTACTGGTCAGATATTTTGTAGAATGTCTCTCTGACTGGGTTTGTCTGATGTTTTGTCACGATTATGGGGAAGAGCACCAGAGTTGATACGCCCTTCTTGGTGCATATTAGGAATACATAATATCAATATGTTTTTCATTGATGGCTCGGTCAAGGTGACATCTGCCAGGTTTCTCTACTGTAAAGTTACTATTTTCCCCTGTGTAATTAATCCATGTTTTGGAGAAAATGCTTTAACACTATGCAAATATCCTATTTCTGCTTAAACTTTTGCCCACTAATTTTAGCCTCTATTGATGGATCTTGCCTCAATATTAAACTTGAGGGTGATTTCAAATTCCTCAAAATATTGCAAAACCTCCCACTTTTCCCCATTAACTAGGTCTGGACCCTTGAAATTACTCTGTGGTGGGGGCCACAGATGTTTATCATTGTTTCCACCATTATCACAGTTGGGGTGAATTGAGGGGCTCACCCTGTCTCTCTTTTTAGACTACTTCTGACATCATGAGGCTGCAGATGGTGCAGATTATACCTATAATTTTCCTTTGTGGAAGCCTGAGGCTGCGCTTCTCCAGGCGAAGGCTCTTTGGAATCAGCAGTTACAGCTTGCTTAGTGATGCCCCGTTACGGTTTGAAGGGCCCTTACTTCTGCCAGGGATTGCAGAAGATGACCGACCTTCCATTATCCATGGTCAGAGCTGTTTTTGGCCTAAATTTAAAAAATGTAACGGTAAACACCAAGAGCTTACCCTTGGCTGGGCATGGTGAGGTAACTGAGGCTCTAAGAGGTTGGGTAGCCTGAGAAGTTCATGGGTAGAAAGTGGAAGAGCCAGGATCTGAACTCAGGTGGTCTAGCTCCAAACCTTGGGATCCTCATATCCTCCTACATTTTCCAACAGAGCTGATTATGGATCAGGAAGCAAAAAAGAGGGCAGCCTCACTTAACCGTCTTCAGGAATAGCCTCTGAGAGAACATGGTGTCACTTAGCCTGACACATTTTACTCACACATGCAATGGATAGCCCAGCTGCAGCTACATCCTTCTGCAGAGGTCCCCAAACTGTACACCAGGGTAACTCAGGTTCCCACGCCAGACCTGATAAATCAGAACCGCGGGAATAGGGCCTAGGAATTTTAATTTTTAAGGCATTTGCCAGGTGACTAAGGAAACCCTAATTTCACAAAATGATAAAAATAGTCTCTATCTAAATACTTTCATTTAGGATCTGATTTGGAACTTGGACCTCTGGGTAAGTATTGGGGCAAAATGGGAGGAAGGTACAAGGAAGGTGCATTTAAGCCTTCGAAGTCGCTTCAAAGGAGTGGGCCTGACTTTGAGGGGCCCTTAGGTAACATCTGTGCACTTGCTTCCGAGAGGTTTCCCTGGGGTCTCTGCTTCATCTGAGGCCAAGGTCTGAGTGCTGTTGCCAGAAGGCAGACGCTTCTCTGGAGGAAGGGAAAACAGTGGGAAGGCCCCAGTACTGACTCTTTCCTTCTTCCTCCTTTCAGCCTTTCAGTGTTATGATGTATGCAGCTGGTCCTGGATCTGGTGACTCCCCAGAGGGCTTCCCTGAACAACCTAGGCTCCAGCCACAAACTGGAAATTACACAGCTCAGGCACTGGGTACTGAAACTGGGGGTATATGCGGTCCTTCCTTCCTCAGTGTGGTTGGGGCAGAAGATTGTGGAGGAGGAATGGGGATGGGAGACTCAAAAATGTCGCTGGGTAGCACAGAATTGCTAGAAGACCTGGTCTTCATTTAGTGACATGTGCGTCAGTTAAGTCAACATTTATTTAACCCCTACTATGAGTCTGACACTGTTACAGGCACTAGAGAAATACCTCAGTGAAAACCAACCAACCAACCAACCGACCAACCAACCAACCAGATTTGGTCCCTGTCCTTGTGGAAGTCCCCCCCCCCCCCCTTTCTTGACTCCCTTACCAACGGGACACCTCCTTTTTTCTAGATTAGGTAAAAAGAGGGCCCATTTGCAACAGGATGAGGAAGAAGACAAAGGTGTAGGCTCAATTTGTGACCTAGAACCTGAGCTGAGGAAGACGGTAGAGTCAGGAGAAACAGAAAAATGGACAGCTTGCTCTCTCCTCTCTCTGGACTGAGAAGGGTGAGATTATAGACGCAGGACTGGGTGAGGCCTTATAGAAAACCCAGCCCCTCACTTTGCAGATGGGAAATTGAAGGGCGGAGAGATTACAGAGATGTTGGAATAAAATCGTGTCCTTTATATAATACTATGTAGTCTCCAGCAAGGCGCTTAATTTCAAACTCCTGCGCTTCGAAGGCTTCCAGGAGCCGCCCTACGCCCATGGCCGGAGGAACATGTCCTTCGTCCCGCGGGTGCCACGCTCTCAATAAAGTTGTTGTTGAGGCTCAGCGGGACCCAGCGAGCCGCCCCGGGGGCGGAGCCTGAGGCGGGGCGAGCCGGGGGCGGGGCGGAGCCGGGGGAGATCCTGCGGGCTGCGGCGAAGAGGGGAGGTGAGCGCAGGCGCGGCCGGCCGGCCATGATCGCGTCTTGCTTATGTTACCTGCTGCTGCCGGCCGCGCGAGTCTTCCGTGCCCTCGCAGGTACTGGCCCCGCGTCCTGACAGGCGGGAGCCAGGCCTGGGCCGACCCCGCGGGGCTGAGGCGGCGTGCGGCGCGTCGAGCCTCACGACCACCTTCCCCAGGCAGTGCCAAGGTGCGAGGGGGCCGCCCTCGGTCCCGGTACCGTTCCTGGACTCCAGGAACTCCCGAGGCCCAGGCCTGGCCGACGACCCTCGTGGGCAGCCTCCTGCTCACGCCGGTGGCGTTGGGCCACAGCTAACGCAGAGGGGTCTGGGGAAGGGGAACAAGCCACCCCTTGCCAGCCCCGGGGGTGCAGAGAGGGTCTGGGGCCCGCTGAGTCATTGCCCGGCGTGGGGGTTGGAAAGGGCTGGCAGCCCCGGGCCAAAGCGAATGCCCGAATTCTCTGTGGGGAGGCCCTGAGGTCCGTGGGCTGAAGAGCTGGACCTATCTGTCTTTCCCTGGGGTGGACGCCACATTCACCTTTCCCAGCCATCTCCGCACTCCTCTCTCGGTGGATGCTTGGGTTGAAAAACATGCTGAGGATCCAGAGAGCCGCATGCAGTCTCCTGTGCGCTTAGAGGTGTAGTGGGATGGAGCAATGCCCGGTTCCTACGTTAGAGAGTTGCTTTTTCACTTGGCACGATCTGCCTGCCCTTTTCGTTCCTGCCTTTTTGTGTTTCATTCTGGGCGCTCTTAGGAGACAGGTCCGCTCAGACCCTGCAGAACTCCCTGACTTCCCTGCACTGTAGAGGGCAGGACAGACCCCCTTAGAAATAAGGGGTCCAACTGTGCATCCTTTGCTTTCCCTTTCTGGAACTTGGCACAACTTGTGTGTGTGTGTGATTTATACTTATGTAATATAAAAAATATATATATATATATATATATATTTTGTTTCTGTCTGCTTCCAGAATGCAAGCTCCAGGAGGGCAGGGTCATGTCGGTTTTCTTACTGTGTTTCTAGTGCTAGCACACTGCTCATCAGGAATGTGTGCACACTTCTGGGGAATGAGAAACTCCCCAGAAGTCGCTGTTTTCAGAGAACTGAAGCATATTCTTTGAGCCATGTTGCTGTCATTTCTGGAGTTCTTCTGGTGTCCAGAATGGTGGCCTTAGTGACAATTGTAGTCTGGAGGTTTCTAGAGTAATAATTTTAGGGATTTCAGAGGAGGGGCCACCTCCTGCTTGTCGCCCCCCCCCCCACCCCCATTAAAGTAGTCCTACTTGTGTTAACTTTGTGTGTTTGGTTTCTACAGTTTGGTTTTGTTTTGTTTTTAAATAAAAGGAATCTGCTACTGAAAAACATGACCACCACCAACAAACACCTACTACATTTGGAAACTAGTAACAGCACACATGTAAATCAAAGAACTTCTGCCATCTGATATACATAGAGGATGTTTCAAGGGACAGGGAATTAGCAAGTCTCTGGACTGAAGCCAGCAACCTGGAGCGTGGGTTTAAAGCAGGGTTTTCCCCTCTCAGCACTATTGACATGTGGACCTGGATGATTTATTGTGGGACTGTCCTTTGCTCTATAGGATGTTCAGCAGTATCCTTGTCCTCTAACCACCAGATGCCAACAGCATTGCCACAGCTGTGACAACCAGTGTCTCCAGACAAGGCTGTATGTCCCCTAAGAGCAAAATCACTACTGGTTGAAAACCACTGTTAAATCCACATAGACCATTAGATAATGTCAACATTTGAATCATTCTGACGTTTCTCTTGCTTTAAAAAAAAATAGAGCTGATAAAATGAGTCTGGTGATGGAGGACCAGCATCATGCTTGCTGCTTGTCCTGTGCCATTAATGAGTGAATAGTGTGTAGGGAGTGTTTGCTTGCAGCAAAATACTGTGCATGGAGTTTGCAGGCTCTAATTTTAGAGTTTTCTCACCTGCCTTCTTGCCTGTTGTCCTGTCATTTGTGGTGCTGTAGCAGAAAGATGATAGCTGTCACTTGTCACCTTCTGATATACAGCCTCTGTTGTGTTATGGAATGAAAAAGCTAATAAGTTTGTGAAGACTTACATGTAGAATAAAGGGCTTTGAGAAGAGGACCAAGGGCCTTTATTAAGAAATAAATTGTATGGATTTTGAGACACCTTTCTTCTCTACTTTAGGACTCTTTCTTTTGGAAAGCATGAATAGATTAGGGGACTTACAGAACGAAAAAAGTTCTTGGCGACTATTTAGTTCAAACTTCCCTTGTCTCCATTTTGCAGTCAAGAATGAATTCATCTCACTAGGGGCATCGTCTGAGGCTACATAGTTTCAATGCTAGGCCATAACCCACAGTTCTAATTCATGGTCAATTTCTGGTTCCTATGAATGCGGCTCTTATTATCAGAAAGTTGATGTTTCCCAGCAGTCTTAATCTCTAGATAAAAAGGTGTGGCTATATGTGACTGCCTCTGTCCTAGATTATGTGGAACAGCCATTCATTTATACCCGCACAGAATGTTTATCAGCTCCCTACCATATAAATTAGTTAATACTTGTAAAGCACTTAGAACTGTGTCTGCCCCATAGTAAGCACTTTGCTCTAATGAAATAAAGTTCCAGGCACTAAAATGGGTAGGCTCAGTGACGAACAATGATGAGCAAGGTGAATATGATTCTTGGATGGGATTCACACTTCAGTTGGGAGAAGAGTATGGGTGGGGTGTTGCTGTCATAACATGGTATTTTGGCTTTCTTCTTAGATGCTTTCTTCACGTGTCGAAAAAATGCCCTCCTGGCGAAGAGCTCGTCCCCCCAGGTACAGGGCAGTTTTGCTATGGCTCCTCAGGGCCCGGACCAGGAAGAGTGTGAGGGCCTGCTGCAGCAGTGGCGAGAAGAAGGGTCGAGCCAGGTGCTCTCCGCCATGAGCGAGGGTCCCCTGTCAGATAAGGGACTAGCCCAGAGCAGCCTGGCACTTCTGATGGATGATCCTGGAGGACAGGATGCTGCTTCAGAGGACAAGTGGTCCAGCAGGCAGCTGAGTGACCTGCAGGGAGAAGAGAACCTGGAGGAGCCTTCCCTTGAGGTCCTAGGAGAGGAGCCACCACCAGAGGTCGAGGGCCCAATGTGGGCAGCTGTCCCCATGCAGACAGATCCTCAGTATGTAGACTGCGCTGTCCTCCCAGTCGGTGCGCTGGCTGCAGAGCAATGGGAAGAGGACCCCGCAGTGGTAGCCTGGAGCATAACACCCGAGCCTGTGCCCCAGGACGCGGCTCCCATCTGGTCCTTTGAGGGCCTGGGGCAGTTGCAGCCTCCCCCAATGGAAGTTCCTTATCATGGTGAGTCTGACAACTGGCTGAGCCATTTGATAAAGAAGAGAGCTCTGCTGCTGCATTCTGTTTTCCTGAGACCCTTGCAGCTGTCAGATCTAGAGGGGCCTTAGAAATGATCTCACCTAGCCCCATGGTCTTTCAGATGAATAACCCCTTTGCAGAGAGGTAGCAGGACATGCCTAAAGTCACACAGCTGGGTAGTGGCAGAACAAAGCAGACCTAGCTCTGGTCCTCCATGCTGTTCTCCAGAGGTGATCCAAGGGCCTCCCGGGAAGAGGAGTGAAGAGCCCTCAGGACCTCCACACACTGCCTCAGCCAGAATAACTCCAGTTTTATCTGTGGTACATATTGGGCTTCCATTAAAATGTGAAAAATGAATTCTGTGGCTCGGTTAGGTTGGAAATCCAGCATGCAGCTCCATGCTGTCAGGGAGAAGGGGGACATGTAGTTTCTAGCCCTACAAACTTTGCTAGATTTAGAGGTTAGGGAACGCCCAAGGCAGAGATTACTCTAGAAGTGTCTTGAACCTCAGGTGACTGTTAAGCACTTTCATCTGAGTGATTCCCCCGGAACCAGTGGATTTGTCACATGTGAGAAATTGTTAGCCTAAATTTATTGAGCATGTGCTAGGTGCCAGGTACGTTGCTAGATCCTGGGGTTATAATGGTGAGCAGGCTGAGATTGTCTCTGGCTTTGCGGAGCTTACCTTCTCATCTGAGAACATCCTTAAGAGCTCTGCCTAGGTTGCCACAGAGAGGGATGGGCGATGTGGATGGTGAAAAAGGGAACTTGAGACAATATCACCAAGTCAGGAATGGAGGTGGTGGCGCCTTGTCATGGACCTGTTCTTCCTAAACTCTTTGCAGAAATCCTATGGCGAGAATGGGAGGATCTCTCCTCTCAGCTGGACGCTCAGGGCCTGGAGGCAGGGGATGGCCCTCAGTTCCAGTTCACCCTGATGTCCTATAACATCCTGGCCCAGGACCTGATGCAGCAGAGCTCCGAGCTCTATCTGCACTGCCACCCGGACATCCTCAACTGGAACTATCGCTTTGCGAATCTCATGCAGGAATTCCAGCACTGGGACCCTGATGTGAGTGAGGGGGGTGGGCAGTGCCATCTTGTGTTTGCTTGGGCCCCGGCTGTTTGCCAATGCTCTTAGGAAATGATGGCGTTCCCACGGTTCATATGATTGGAGTCCTTCCTGGGGCTGGTGCTTGCCTGCAGAAGTAAATGAGTTTTGGCAGATGCTAAGACTCCCCTGAGGTGTACTTTTGGCACCTTTATGCGGGGAGGGAGACTCGAGGGACTCGAGGAGCGGGAAAATCCAGTGTATGGGTCTGGTCTTTTCAGCTCAGCCCTGGGCCTGCTCTGGCTGGGACTGACTACCCAGGAAGAGTCAGCCGTGTGGGAAGTTTCAGTGTGACCCTGCCTGAGACCCATAACAGCTTCCCACCTGGCCACAGTGCCTGCTCCTTGGGTGGGAGTCCTCTTCAGCACTCTGGAGTGATTGGTGTCCTTGTCAATTTCCTAGATCCTGTGTCTCCAGGAAGTCCAGGAAGATCATTACTGGGAGCAGCTGGAGCCTTCTCTGCGAATGATGGGTAACACAGCTCCCTGACATGTTTGCCAGTCTTTGTTCCTACAGCCCTATCTGCTCTCTCCTGAGGATACCGTCTTTTTCTTTTGTCTCAGTAAGCCCTCAGCCTCACCTGTGAGGTAGCTCCTTTATGTGGGTGAGAAAGACAATGGAGTCCTGCAGTTATAAAGTAATTGTGACGTATGTTGTCATTTAATCCTCGAAGTAACCAACTCTGTGAGGCTGAGTATTATTATCCCGAGTTTACAGTGAAGAAACTGGGTTTCTCAAAATTTCTGTGACTTGCTCAGGGTCACAAAGCCACAAAACTAGTAGGTGGTGGAACTAGAACTCCAACTTGCCTGACTCTAGATCCTGAGCTTTTCCTATCAACTTATGTTGCTTCAAACCCTCTCCCCTTCCGCCCCCTTAGCGCCTTAGTCACCTGGCTGAGATTGTAAGAGAACCGCTGCAGAACCAGGGAATTGGCAAGGGCAGGGCTCCCATTATTGAGCAGCAGGAGCAATGCCTTGTGCGTACATGCCGGGGGTACTGCCACTGGTTGGAGGAATTCAGGGTTCAAGGACTCTGATCCATCCCCTTGGCGGGGTGTCCCTTGCAGGCTTTACCTGTTTCTACAAGAGGAGGACCGGCTGTAAGACGGATGGCTGTGCTGTCTGCTACAAGCCCACGAGATTTCGCCTGCTCTGCGCCAGCCCTGTGGAGTACTTCCGACCTGGCCTGGAGCTCCTCAATCGGGACAACGTGGGCTTAGTGTTGCTGCTGCAGCCGCTAGTCCCAGAAGGCCTGGGGCAAGTCTCTGTGGCCCCGTTGTGTGTGGCAAATACCCACGTCCTGTACAACCCACGCCGGGGTGATATCAAGCTGGCCCAAATGGCCATTCTCTTGGCTGAAGTGGACAAGGTGGCTAGGTTGTCGGATGGCAGCCACTGCCCCATCATCTTGTGCGGGGACCTGAATTCTGTCCCTGATTCCCCTCTCTACAACTTCATCAGGGACGGAGAGCTCCACTACCACGGGATGCCCGCCTGGAAGGTGAAATGGGGCCGGCCACTGCGGGGTGGGGACGTGGCCCAGGGAGAGAGGTGGGTGTTGGCATCCGGTGCCGGTTCTGGGCCCGGGCCTCTGTGACACCTGTCCTGGCTCCCTCCTGCTTTCATGTACCCCAAAACCTGGAAGCTAGGCGCTCTTAAGTGCCTCTGTGTATTGGAATCCTTTCAATTTTTATCATTAATTTATTTAGTTTTTAAATAATCCATAAGTACATGCTTGTAAGAATTCAAATATCAAAAAGGGGCAAAAGACCATTTTATTACCTACACGCCCTGCCTCTCTTAGAATAAAGTAATAACTGCTGGAGGTTTGGTGGTAGTTTTCCAGATCACTTTCTGTGCATGTATAGTGATGCCTGTGTTCCTGTGGCAATGTAATCATAACTTACATTTATGAAGCAATTACTGTGTGCCAGGTGCTATTTTAAGCACTGTACATGTATTATTAACTCATTAATTTTCACAATTTCTGTCATTGCCTCCATTTTATAAGTAAGGAAACTGAGGCACAGAGGAATTAGTAATTTGCTTACTCTGGATTACGCAGGTCATTAGCAGTGGAGCCAGGATTTGTAACTAGGTGGTCTGGCCCCAGAGCTCTCGCCCTCTGGTACTAGGCTATGGTTGCTGATATGTACTCTATCATGTGTGTGTTTTAAACATGATACATTATATTTCAGTCTGTAGCTTGTTTTTTCACTCAATAATGTATGTATGGATTTATCCCATTCCTTTTAAATGCTGAATATTGATAGTGTACCTATCATAATAGCATAGTTTATTTAGCTGTGCTGATGGGCATTCAGCTTGTGCTAATTTTTTATAAGCCAATTAATCTCCCTGTTCCTCTTTTTGCTTCTACTGATCCATCCAACTTATTGCCTAACTTTTGGCAAGGCACAGTGGAGAAAGGACACAAGATGACTGAGTTATTGTTGAGCACTTTGGGCTTTTATTTTAATGAGGTTACTCAAGTGCCAGCAATGTTCTAGTTGCCGTGTGTGCAGAGAAAGGCATTATACTGCCAGAAAGTTGCTATAATCACGGAGCTCAGGAAATTGGCAGAAGAATTTACTAAGTACCTACTTTGTGAGAGGCACCATTAGCATAGTGGTTAAGAGCCCACATTTTGAAGCCAGCAAGTCCTGAGTTCAAATCTCTGCTCTGTCTGCCACCTTGGGCAAGTTACTCAACTTCTTTAAGCTCCATTTGCCTCATCTATACACTGTGACCTACTATATATATAATGGGACCTGCTTTGCAGGGTTTTTGTTTGTTTGTTTGGTGGGCTAAATAAAATCATGCACATACATGATTTTGTTTTCCAGTTCCTGCCTCAAAGGAAGCAGTCAGTAATTTGGTAGTGGTTATTATTATCAGGATTCTTAATTATATGTGGTATTATTATTCCATTTTATAGTAGAGGATATTGAAACCAACAGAGTTAACTAACTTGTCCAAAGTCACACAGCTAGTAGATGGCCATTAAATTTCAGGTCTGTTTTACTTCAGATGGCATATTGGAAATTTGTGTCCTTTAAGGGCAGAGGTTGTGCCCATCACTGCTCTCTTCTCAGCACTTGGCTAGTGTTGTGCACGTAGTTGGCATTCAAATAGTTGTTGTTGTTAAATAAAATAAAGGGAATTTTGCTATATACGTTGGAGATATACAGATGACTGATGTTGCCGAATGTTTCCCCTACTACGCTCTGTCCGTTCCCAGGCTGCTCATTGGCTTTGACCGAGGATGGTGACAGAGATACGGTAAAGTGCCTTGGTGCATTTCCCATTTGCTTCTACCCTGTGGTTTCCCAAGAATAGGCTTAAGGTGTTCCAGAAGATCCAAACATTAGGATAAACCTTTCCCGTTGTACATTAAAGCCCCTGAAAGTTGATATCCCCTGTGGAGAACTGTGAAGATTTTTCTGAGGGGAAAGTTAGAGGATCACATGTTTATAGAGTTCTATTCTCTTTGACTCACACACCTCACTCTCTTACCCTTCACTCCTGTCTCATGGACATTTCAGTGTTTTAGTAAAAAAAATGGTTTCAATTAGCTCCTTCTTTTTAATCTTCCCCTAAGACTTAGGTGTTGTGCTTATATAGTGTATGATTGTGTGTGTGTATGTTTGTCTGCATGACCTCCAAAACGGGCTGTTTCCTTTTCCCACCTCGGCTTTCTCATTCCCATCTGCTCTTTCCTTGTAGGTGTCTGGACAGGAAGACTTCTCCCATCAGCTCTACCAGAAGAAGCTGCAGGCCCCACTATGGCCCAGCACCCTGGGCATCACTGATTGCTGTCAGTATGTCACCTCCTGTCATCCCAAGAGATCAGGTGAGCATGTGTCACGTTCTTGGTTGCCTGTGCCTCCGTGCCCATTCTGGGAGAAAGCTGGCATCCCAGTGACGAGAAGGAGTAATCCCCTCAATTCCCGTAGCAAGTTCCTTTGTTTTTCTCACTGTCTTCATGGACACCCAATAATATGGACAACTTTATTTATTTATTTTTAAAATTTTATATATTTGTTTGTTTTTAGATAGAGGGGAAGGGAGGGAGAAAGAGAGGGAAAGAAACATCAATGTGTGGTTGCCTCTTGTGTGCCTCTACTGGGGACCTGGTCCACAACCCAGGCATGTGCCCTGACTTGGACTCGAACCAGCAACGCTTTGGTTTGCAGGCTGGTGCTCAATCCACTGAGCCACACCAGCCAGGGCATGGTACGGACAACTTTAAATCATAGCTGTTGGAAAATCTCCTTGTCCTCTGAGCCAGACTTCCTCTATATCCCTACACTGGAAGCTTCTTGATATTAAGGAGGTCTTAGCATGTGGCTCTTCTTCCTTTCTTTTACCATATGGCTTTTCCTGGTTTACAGAGAGACGTAAGTATAGCCGAGACTTCCTGTTACATTTCCGCTTCTGCAACATCGCATGTCAGCGACCAATAGGACTGGTTCTTATGGAAGGAGTGACAGATATTAAGCCAGGTAATGGAAACTAAGCTTGTTTTGTTTTGTTTTTTCCTTTTCTTTCTTTCTTTCTTTCTTTCTTTCTTCCTTCCTTCCTTCCTTCCTTCCTTCCTTCCTTCCTTCTCTCTCTCTCTCTCTCTCTCTCTCTCTCTCTCTCTCTCTCTCTCTCTCTCTCTCTCTCTCTCTCTCTTTCTTTCTTTCTTTCTTTCTTTCTTTCTTTCTTTCTTTCTTCTATATAGCCCTGATATTTGTCAGTTATTTGATTTCTTAGTCTTTCCTAGGTATAATTCATAGACCTTCTGGTACTAAGTGTGCTTACAAAGAAGGTCAGTGGGGTTTAGTGGCCATATACGTGCCATACACAGTGTTGTGAGAACGTGGACCAGAATCAAGACCTGGGTTCTAACAGCTCTGAGACCTTGAATAAGCTACTTAACCTTATTAGGTTTAAGTTGCTACTAACTACCACGTGGACAGCATATATGGGAGAAAAGTTACACATGAAAGGGCTTTGAAAATCAAAAGGTGGCAGCAGTCCTGCTTGTAATAAAAAAAGTCCTACTGAGAACTTACAGATTGAATGTGGCAGAATATACTTGACACTGTGCCCTTCTTGTCTCTGAAACCACTCCAAAGCAACAAGAAAAATGGAAAAAAGAAATGTAAACTTCATTTTTGAGAAAACAAGGAGCCTGAACATATCTGAAATCATACATCGTAACACAAGTGGAAAGGCCGTGAGAAGCACTAGATACCATGCAGGGGTGCTGGAGGAAGTATGGAGAGACTTACCTGTGAGGCTCTGTGGGTCTCTAAGAGAACCAGCAGAGTGCTTTTCTCTACAGTGAGGCCAAGATCCTTGTTTCATCAATAAGAAAAGGATGTCCAGGTTGTGATAGAGCATTGTCTCGGCCTCTTTTAGTCCTAAGGCGGTAGATGAAAGACTGGCCAAGGAATCAAGCCATGTTTTCATTAAGCAGTCTAAGTGGCAGGGAGAGAGAAAGAGCAGCATATCTTTTGTATGGGAGAAGAAGAGATTAAAAGGACTCATACAGACCCCATATCATAAGGAAAATTCTGTTACTTGGAATGCGTATTTAATTATTCTCTTATATAAACTTCATACAAATAATTGGTAGAGAAACCTCAACTAATTTAAAGCTGGGCAGCCCAAAAGAAACCAGCATGAGATCTGTACTACGGTACTAGAAGGAAAAAAGGTGGCAGGAACCGGGGAAATAATTGGGAGATAAAGAATACTTACTTCAGTGGTAAAAATTCTTGCCATGGTGCATATGAAAATTACAATGATTTTCCCATGAATTAAAAAATGAAGCAACTGCCTTTATAAAATAAGAGCACAAAAATAAGATCATTGCCTTTTAAAAAATAAGTTCAGGCACATGGCAAGATATGAGAAGATGAAATGTAAGCTGCAGAGCTAAGGAAAGAAGTAGAATAAAAGATTTAAAAATCCCATAAAATGAAGACAAAATTGGATACAGCACAAGAAAGATATTACTGAAAGTAAGATAAGAGATAGGCCAAGGAGGAAAAAAAGGCAAAATAAAAAAGAAATAAAAGGATAAAAATGACTAGGGAGAAAATGACAGTAATGGAAGACAAGGAGAGTCAACATATAATTGGAGTTCACAAAAAGGAAAATCAATATAATGGCACAAATGGAATATTTAAAGACATGTTTGAGGGAAGATTTCCCAAAGATGAAAAGGTGTGAATCTTCAGATTGAGAAGATACGTCATGTCTCAGTAAAAATGACATAGGAGAAGCAACACTAAGACATCTTAGTGAAGTTACTAAAAGTCAAAGGTAAAAGAGTCTTTTAGGCAGTTGAACCAAAAAAGATTGGGCTACCTTAAGGGTAAAAATAATCAGGTTAGCATCAGACTTCTTAATGCTAACATTCAACTCTAGAAGACTTCAAGGAAAGGCTTCAAGGAAAGAAGGTATGGCCCAAGAATTTTATATTCAAGCACGAGCCTTCCTTGAAGAGATGCTAGAAGACTAACTTAAGGCAACCAAGCAATGACTGGAACAAACTATAGAAAAAGGACTGGTGGTAGGCAATGAATTTATTTTTCTCTTGTAGGAATTTAATTTAAGTTGGCATTTTGAACAAAGCAGCAAACATTTCAATGGCTCTGTTTTTTTTTTTAATTGTAAAGGTAAATGTATTATTATAACTGTGGCAATATATGATGATGATGATGATGATGGCGGCTACCATGCATTGAGCAACTAGCACGTGCCTGGAACTGGGATAGTGCTTTTATCAGTTGGGCTCAGGCAGGGAAGCTGTGCCTCAGTGTTTTAAGATTATAAAATCCCAAAGTTAAACAGTAGTTTGCCCCTATTGCTCATTTCATGTTAAGAATAGGTCATTTTTAAAAAACATCAGTGCTGTACTTGAAACATAAAATAAGCATTTCAGTTTAATATCAAAATTAAACCCAAGAACCTTTAAAATACACGCTGACAATGACTTTGTAAGTAGAATCATTATATTGGGGAAAGTACCCAGTTCACTAACAATGCAAAATAATAGTAGTATTTTCAAAATTGAAATTAAATTTGGATAAACACTTCCATTCACCACATACCGTGAACATGCCTTTCCATTTGTTCAGTAGCCCCCACCTAGGGCTGAACAGGCTCTTGATGAATCGTCTTTAAAGACTTGAAATCTAAAAAGCTACCGTCACTTTTAGGCCATGAGTAGAAAGACTTAAGTGCAGTACGATGAGATCATAGTGTGGGATCTTTTTTCTGGATATGTTTAGATGTCCTACCAAATAATATTTCCAATCCTATGCCAGAGTCATCCAACCCACTGTGCACACAGAAACTTGCCAGCTTGGCCCTGGCGGGTGGCTTGGTTAGTTGAATCATCATCTCATACATCAAAAGGTGGTGGGTTGATCCCCCGCCTGGGCACATACCCAGGTTATGGGTTCTACCCTCTGTCAGGGCACGTACTGGGGGCAACCAGTCAATGATCGATGTTTCTCTCTCACATCTCTGTTTCTCTTTCTCTCTCTTAAAATTAATAGTAAGCATATCCTTGGGTCAGGATTAAAAAAAATAAAAGTAGGAAAACAAAAACCTGTTACCTTGACTGTGACACTGACTTTAATGTGAACCATCTGAGTTGCAAGAGGAGCTGCAGTACTAGGCAGTGACGGTGTAACTGTCTGACCAGTTGACGTTGCACTGCGCTGGAGCGCTCTGCATCACCAGGCTGTGTGATACAAAAACGTTGTGATGCCCCTCCTCCCCCTCTCCCTTTTGAGGGAATAATTAATAAGAAGGAAATCCAAATTTTAAGTCCCTCCTCATGTATTTTTTCAATTGTTAATTATTTATCTTTCTAGTGTGGTTCATAAAGACACTGGAAAGGGTCACTATGTTTTCTTTCTCATGAGTACTTACTTGTATGTTTACATGAACTCTGGAGCTTTGAACTTACATCGAACTCTTCAGGTCTAACTATGTGCCCAATTAAGTGCATTACAGGAAAAAAACAACTGCTAATAGATGATTTTTAACAACCACTAATTACAAACTGACCAGATGGCCATAGAGCAAAGGCTGTCTGATCAGTTTTCTAACGAGGAAAGTTCTAAATCCAGCTTCTCCTCTGGCCCATGAATGACACCTTATTATCCCCTTCCATAGTACTTACAGAACTTGCTTGGCTTCCACTTGCTTACTTGGGTGCCAGGTGGGCCCAGAAGATGTGGCAGCTCATAGAAGCAGCTGTGGTCTGTGTACTGGTGCTGTCTGTATACAGCGGGCGTGGGCAGTGCCTGGGACTGAGGGAAACCATCTGTGATGTCCTGCTGGTGGTCACTGTGATTTCTCTGGCATATCATAATGGTAAAGGATGTGACTGAAAATGAAGATATTAGTGTTATGCATATGTATGCTCCAAATAACATTACATCAACAATCACAAAGCAAAACTTCAGGATTTAACAAGGAATAATGGAAAATAACTAATGGTAGAAAGTTTTAATGCATCTTTCTTATTTCCCTGCAACAGATCAAGCAGATAAAAGATAATTAAGAACAGAGAAGACTTAAGCAACTTAAGGTAGACTGATTGATACATATCAAACTCTGAACACTGAAAGCAGAGCAAAGACATCCTTCTAAGTATCCATAGGAGATTCTTAAAAATTGACTGTATATTAAACCACCTAAAAAACCTCAGTAAATTTTAAAGAGTAAGAGTAGCATTGTCAGCTTTCTTTGATCACACAGGCAGTAAAATAGGAATTAAGAACAAAACACCACCCTGGCTGGCGAGGCTCGGTTGGTTGGAGCATTGTCCCGGAAATGGAAGGCTGCTGGCTGGATCCCTTTCAGTCAGGGCCCACGCCCAGTCTGCCAGCTCAGTCCCCACTGCCGCGCGTGCAGGAGGAGGCAGCTGATCAGTGTTTCTCTCTTACACTGATGTTTCTCTCTCTCCCTTTTTCCCTCTCTCTAGAATGAGAATAAAATAAACCTTAAAAACAAACAAACAAACAAATACAAAAGCCCCCCAAAATAAAATATCATCACCTGGGCATTTAAAAAATTTCAAAACAACTTTTCGGTCAAAGGTGAAATCTAAACTGAAACTGAAGAATATCTAAAGAATAAGAATAATGAAAATAACATAGATTAATGGGATAATAGCTAAAACAGTATTCAGTGAAAAAAAATCATAGCATTATATAGAATATTTAGAATAATAGAATTACATTAATAAAAAAGATGAAAGTAAGTACATTAAACATCCAAATTAAGAAGTTAGAAAAAAGAACAAACTGAAAAAGTAGAAAGAAAAAAGATGAAAATAATTTAAGAAACAAAATAATAGTTGAACTAGTAAACTCTTAAGAGTTGGTGGTTTGGGTGAAAAATAGCTGTCAATTAGAAAAACCCATTCGCTAACCTATTTGTGGAGTAAGCAAAAGTATTCAGATGCACAAGAATTAATAGGATTATAAGGGGGTTGTTTGCTCAACTAAGTGCAAAGAAATTAAAAACTTAGTTGCATATATTAATTTTAGAAAATATAATTTACTAAAAAATGATTGGAGGAGTGAGAGATAATCTAAATAGACTACCACAGTGGAAAAATTTTTTAAAGTTCTCAGAGATGCAGTCCCAGAAAAACAACCAGGCTCAGAATGACGGGAGAAGGTCATCATACCTTTTAAAGAATTTTTGTAATTCCACTACTATTTAAATTGTTACAGACACAGAGGAAGAATGGGGACAAGTTATTTTTATGAAGCAAGTACTTTGACAACACCACCTAACAATTACACAGAAAAAGAAAACTACAGACTAACATTCTCACCCATGATATTGATGCAAAATAAAATTTTTAAATAGAAGATTAGGAAACAGAATCTAGCAGCGCATTGAAAGAGCAACATGCCATGACCAAATGGAGTTGATCAGAAATGTAAAGATAGTTTGATATGGCAAAATCTATGAATATAATGTATCGTGCCTATATATATATGTATGAAATGTATTTAAATATATGAGAAGCATCCTACAGATGTCTCCATCTCTTCTTACACCATTCAAATACATTGATCTCAGTCAGGGCGTGGGTTGCCGGCAGTGCGCCCTGGAGCTAGGGTCTGAGGCTGTGAGGAGTGGGAGGAGGGCACGGATCTGCTGTGGGCCTGAAAAGAGAAGTTTATCTCAGCTCCGAAAATCAAGATGTTGCTTAAAGAAAACACTTGAGGAGCAAAGTCAGCAACAAGACAAGGATGGTCACTATCATTAATCAGCTGAGTTCAGAGATACCAGCCAACATAATTAGAAGTAGAAAATAGAAATATAGGTAAAGAAAATAGAAGTGAAAAATGGAAAGGAAGGGGTAAATTACTACTTCCTGTTAATGTTGTTATGTAACTGGTGATCCAAGAGATTCAACTAGCAATTATCGTAAGTGTTAAGATAATTCTGGGAAGTAGCTGGGTATATTAATATATAGAAAGCCACAGTATTCATACATAAAAGTAATGACATATTTGTTAAGAGATACAGTGAGCCCTGGACGGCGTGACACAGTTGGTTGGTCATCATCCCACCAACTGGAAGGCGACTGACCGGTCTGATTCCCGGCTGGGGCACATGCCTGGGGTGCGGACTCTGTGCTCTATCCCCAGTTGCGGTACTTGTAGAAGGCAACCAGTTTATGTTTCCCTCTTATATCAATGTTTCCCTCCCTCACTTTCTCCCTCCCTTCTTTCTGTCTCAAATAAAAATTTTAAAAAAGAGATATATGGAAAAAAACTCTAATAGCAACAAAAATAAAACATTAATTTAGCAGGGAGAATGTAAGGTATATAAAGGAATATTTCTTTTCATCTAAATTGTCATTTATTGGCATGAGGTTGTAGCATTCTTATCTTTTTTTAAAAAAGAGCATATTTATTGAGATGAAATTCATATACCATTAAACTCACCCATTTAAAGTGTACAAGTCAAGTGGCTCCTAGTATATTAAAAGTTGTACAACCATCACCAAAGTCATCGCCCCCAAAAGGAACCCCAATATCCATTAGCAGTCTTTTTCCATTCACCCCTTTCCTTATGAAAAATCAGTTAACCACCGACATACAGGTTTTTAGACCTTAATTATATTTCAGTCACCTATGTGTCTGTCCTTAGGCCAGTACCACCCTGTCTTGATTATTTTGGCTTGGTGTAAGTTTGAAATGGAGAAGTCTAAGACTTGTAACAGTTCTTTTACCGTTAAGTATAATGTTTGCTCTCTGGGATCCCTTTCCTGGGGCATTAATCCCATTCGTGAGGGCTCCACCCTCATGACCTAATTACCTCCCAAAGGTCCCACCTCCTAATTCCATCACATTGAGAGGTAGGATTTCAACATATTTTGGAGAAAAATATTCAGTCCATAGCACCTATTGATGTTAGTAGGATCTGTAATAATATCCTCTCTTTCCTGATGTTGGTAATGTGTGCCCTTTTTCTTTGCACGTGTGTATATACATGTGTGTATGTGTGTGTATATGCACACATATATACATATACACACACATACACACACACAGTGGATGGGGTGTGGTGGGAAATCTCTGGAGGAATAGATACCAGAAATGTATTGCCATCAGTTGCCCCTGGAATTGTGTAGCAAGGAGTGGGAGGGCGACTTTTCACTGATACTTTTCGTGCATTTTGATTTTTGTACCATGTGACTATGTGACCTTTCTAAAGTAAATTCAAGTTTTAAGGAAAGGTGCTGAGTCGAGGAAGACCATGTCTATGTTAGAGGCCTCTGTCTGTCTGCCTTCCTCAGGTTCTTGACTTCGGTCCATTGTTTTCTTCCTCCCCTCCCCTTCTCTTTTTCCTTTTTCCTTCTTCTGAAGCAGTCCAGTCAAGGATATGAGAAGGATTCAGGGTGCAAGGTACTGAGGCTCCTGCACTGTCTGCGAATGATTAAAGCATCTTTCTCTCCCGTCTCCTGCAGAGCGACCTGCTGGCTGGGTCGAGTCCATTCCCGAGGAAGACGCCTCTGAGTCTGAGCCTGTCGTCCCCAGGTAACTCACCTTCCAGCTCCCTTCCACTTGGGTCCAGCCTGCCTATGTATGTAGGAGAGATCCTGCTGGCTTTCCTGAGGCTAATTTGGGGGAGCATTTTTTGCTGAGCCCCCCACAAAATGTGCCGAGGCCAGAGGTGCCCCACCCGGGGTCTTGCAGAGAAGCTCACACACTTTCCTCGTGGGAGGGAGGCCTCACAGCAGAGCTTGCTGACCCATGGACAGGGTCTGTTAGGTGTGCTTCATGAGCTGGCAAGCGGAGAGCGGAGGGTCGGGAATGTTGGGGGACTGAGTATAAATGTGTTCGTTGCTTGGCTAATTTTAGCTAAGACTGTCAGCCTCTTATTAGCATGGGGAGGAATTTTTGCTGAGTCTGAGTTAGTTGGGTTCATTCGTTAAAAATACTTCAAAAAAATCCACAGAGAAAGTAACCTTGAGAAAAGTTTGGTGATGTTTGCTGACGGAAATTGCCCCTTCAATGCCTGCAGGACCGTAGGCACCATCCAGCACTGCCTCCGCCTGACCTCGGCATATACCCATTTCCTGCCCCAGCATGGCCGCCCAGAGGTCACCACCATGCCCTTGGGTCTTGGAACGACGGTGGATTACATTTTCTTCTCAGCTGAGTCCTGCGATAATGGGAACAGGACTGGTAAGCCTAGTGGGTCCTGGGTTCCTAGAAGCCACCCCCATGAGTCCCTGGAACAACCGAGGGGAGGTCAGGCATTTGGTGGCATGGCTTGGGCTGCTGGTAGCTGGCCGGCAAAAGAGCAGCTTTCATACCTACCTAGCACTGGTCATTCTCATCGTACTTCCCTTAGACCACCCGTCCACCTTCTCTTTTCACCCTTGTAGCTTTAGAGAAGTGGGCAGGACAAGCACTCTCCACCCCTATTTTGGAGGTAAAAACAGAGCATCCGAGGATACTGGATCTGTTCAGCGGCAGCTGGTTACTGAGGAGCTTGGTTAGGTTAGAGACCCTGTTTCCGATCTCCTCACCCCATACCGGTGTTCACAGAGTTGCCGTCCATCAGCCCCATGTCTGTGGGTTTAAAGCATGTCTTTTAAAATGTCTAAGTTGATTGCCTATCTTTAAAGCTCAGATTTTTAATAGAAGATCTGAATTTCCAGTTTCTCTTGGAAAATCAGATCTTGTAACTTTGGGCCTGGGCATACACTCTCCATTTTGCCACAGTCCCCTGGGCCCCGCCCCACTTCATTCATTGACTGATGTAGCATGGAGTATCTGAGAAAATGAGGCTTCACGTAGGGGCCCCAGGAGGAGGCGAGGGAGGTGGGCAGCGGGGGGATGCAGCCTCCGGAAGGCCTGGCTCCCGTAGGCCCCTGCGGTGCGCTGACTGCTTTACCACGGCTGCCTCCCGCTTTGTGCCCCAGATCGCAGGCGTCAGGATGGAACTCTCAAGCTCCTGGGCCGTCTCGCCCTCCTCTCTGAAGAGATCCTCTGGGCTGCCAACGGCTTACCCAACCCCTTCTGCTCTTCAGACCACCTCTGCCTGCTGGCCAGCTTCGGGATGGAAGTCACTGCCCTGTGACGGGGTTCCCAGGGGAAGAGAGCGTCTCTTCCAGAAGAGCTCACTGGATCAGAGACTGTCGAAACTTAGATCCAACTATCTTACGTCCCCTCCTCTCCCCCAACTTGTTCCCTTTTTCCCATGGTTAGATTTTCTCTGGGCCTGTCCTGGTTCTCTGCCAACAGTCCCGTCCCTGCCCCAGCCTCTTCCTAATCTTGTGCCACATGCTTGGTGGCCCTGGGAGAGGTGGAGGAGTGGTTCCCCCTTCCTTCCATGTATCCAGCGCTCCCCGTTGATTTTTAATTACCAGGGTTGTGGGAGCTATTGATCTCATTGGTTATTTACTTTCAGGCCGTTCCTTGGTGGTGCCTTCTGATCCGACCTTCTCCCTGCCTTTGCAACTTCTGGGCCCAGCCCTCTTGCCAGGCACACACGTGTGAGATATATGTAGTATGTATGTGTCCCCTCAAGGAGGGACGGCTCTGCAGGGCCACACCTGCGTCTGATCAGCCTGCTTTCCACCCTGTGGCCGTCAGCCCAGGGGCAGGTGGAGAGCATGGTGTCAGGCGGCTGCAGGCCCATGGGCCCTTCTCCTTTTATCCTCCGTGTTTCATTAGGCGTTCATCGTGCCGGCCAGGGCATACATGCCATCTGAGCTCTGGGAGTGAAGGGGCCTGCCACCCGGAGCTGCAAATCTAGGGGTGCACTACCTGCTCCAGGGGCCCCCGAGCCTCTGACCCGGAGCTCCCCTCAGGCCCTGCGTGTTCTCTCCGGGCTATGCCTTTCCCCAGGCTGCGCTGAGGAGAGCAAACGTTTGTGGGGCCAGTGGGCTGGGAGGGTGGTTTGAGGTTTAAAACTCTGTAAGCGTGAGGAGAAAGAATGTTCAGGAAACAGTTGTCTCACTGGACTCTGCCTCCTGCAGAACGGGTGAGCAGGGTAGTCCTAGTAGGGGAAGAGCTGGCAGGCTCTGCAGCTGCTTCAGCTGGGACTCGGGACCTCAGGGATTATTGGTTCTCTATTTTCCCACCACTTTTTACTGTTTGCTGCCTTCCTCATGGCCTTCCATTTTCTCCCCAGAAAAGCCTGCTATTTAGCTCTGGCCAAACCTCCGCACAAAGGCGACCTTGGGCAAGAGTGCCTGAGGAGTTGCTCAGGCCATCCAGGCCTCGACTGCTCGTGGCCTCTGCTTTCCTTCTTGTAGCGCAGGGGGCTTCCGAGCCCACCGGGTCACCTGCCTGCCTTAAACCTTTGTTGCTGGGGGCGGCCCCAGGCCTTCCTGGGCCAGCTGCTCCATGCATCCCTCACTCCCTCGTTGATTTGACTTGCTGTTGCTCCACTTGGCCTCCAGCACAGAACCGCAGGAATAGCTGAGAAGCTGGAGATTTAGCCTAAGGCTAATGTTCTCTCCCTTTATTTGAAAGCCAAAGACCCAGCTGGAATTCCTCTGTGTTCATGGTCATAAACTTTCCACGCCTAGGTTCTGGGAAATTTATCTGTGTGTGTATATTTTTAAACATTGTTTCCTGGGTACTGGGCATATGCCTGTCTGAGCCCCAGGCCTGTCTGTCCATACCCCACTGTTCATTGTTTGTCTCTGTGGGCACCTCCTGAGGTGAACGCAAGACAGTGCCCTGTTGTTTTCCAGGACTATGGCCCGTCACCGTTCTCCTCTGCCAGGCAGTGCCGTTTAAAAATGGCTGAAGGTGGCAGAGGGCCGGTAGCCTAATCATCTTGTTTTGTTTTGTTTTCTTACTTGTTTCTGTTTTGGAAATGAAACGAGGGTTTTAAGTGGTTATTTAAATTCTCTTTTCCAAATAAAGGTTTACTTTTCCCCGCTACTGCTGGTCATTTTATTAGGATTCTGAAGGGCAGGGGGGAGAGAAGGCCTGGAGAGCGAGGTAGGCAGAGAGGGAGGGACTGGCCCTGTGGTGGGCGCCCGGTCCTAAATCCAAACCCAAGAAAAGGGCTGGACTCTCCCTCTGACCGCAGAGGCAGACCCGCACTGCTCTGCGGCCTCGGGGAATAGCGCGTGGGTGGGGCCACTGCCCTGACTTCTGTTGCGGGGCAGCGTCCTCTCCATCCTCGCCAAGCTACGGGAGAACGGCTCTCTCAGCTGCGTTTGTTCCTGTTCCATCTGCCACCCCTACCCCGGTCCACACTGCATTTCAGGAGGGTCTGTGTAGAAAGTGGGATGAGAAGCATTTTCCCGATCACAGCTATGGCAGCTGCGTGAGGCGACGTTGTGTGCAGCAGATGCCTCGTGCTGAGCGTCTATTTCTGATCATCTCTTTTGCATTCTGGAGCCAGCGCTGAGCTGTGAGCCATCTGTTGCTGGAAAGGCTTCTCCTCCTTCCTGGGCCTCACTGTGCTGGTACTTTTGTCCTCTCCCAGGCTCCTCAAGCAGCAAGTCCACCAAGCCCACGTGCCCTTGGGAAGCCCTGAAATGGGGGTGCTTTTCTCTCTTACCTGAACAGAACCCCAAACCCCACACCTTTGACTCAGCCTCTGAGACTCTGAGGTACTTAAAGCTGCCTGGGTGCTTCTGTTGCACCATCTGGGTTGGAAGTCAGTGGGAAGGGAAGAGCCCGGCAGTAGGCACACCACTTGTCTCGGCCTAGTCACTGGTGACGGTGGGTAAGTTACCCCTTGCATTTCACTTCACATGGCTCGATGAAATGGAAAGTAAAGCAACGATCTTTTCCACTTGTGAGGGCTTTTCACATCTGAAATTGTATTTTTTGAGCTTCAGCAAGCAAGGGGTGCTAGGAACTCCAGAGTATTGGAGGGAGTTGAGGGAGTTGAGGGTGGGCCGGCAGACACTAACGCTAGGGATTGCCAGGCAGCCTGCGCCTGGGCCAGTCTTTGGTGTGACTACCACTGCCCATCACCACTGCCCTTGACGTATTGGTCAAGACGTCAGATCCGGGCAGGCGGCTCGGCGGAACTTCCACCTACCTGCTTGCATACCGAGCTCTGAGAAGTGCTACCTGCATCCACAGGTTCGACCCGAATTAGTCATGTGCCTAAATTAGGCAGGCACCTGCTGTGAGCCTGCAAGGAACAGGGCAGCAGAAAATGAGGCGACCCCCGGCACTCTGGGCCCTGGTCCTCCTGGCGCCCACTGTGACACATACCTCGGCATCCGTTTTGAGAAAGTGGTCAAGCACGTTCACAGTGGCCTGCTCGACTCCTGCCAGATTCCCGCCCTGGCTCTCACCAGCTTCCATTTGCAAGAGGGCAGCCCAGGGCCCACTGAGTCCACCGCACTGAAGCCCACCAAGTAAAAGTAAGGTCTTTCATTTGGTATTTTAGCTGGATTTGAATGTGTAAATTACAACACTGCCTTTGTGTAGAGATGTATAATCCTAGTTAGTCTCATATTCTGGTTACCTCTATTGAAAGGCCCTTTTTGGGTATTAACTGGGATTTAAATGGGCCTGTAAGTAACAAAACTGCCTCTGTTTGACCGTGTGGAGTCCAGGACATCCGTGGATTCCAAAGGACTACCTCTCTCCTCCCCAGGCGCCATGCCTCACACACTACTGAAGATGAGGCGGTCTTGCTGTGCTAAACTGCTAGTTAGGACACTGTGGGCATTGGCTGGGAAAGAAGTAGGGAATACCCTACCTCCTCTTCTATGTCTTGGTTTTGCTCTCAAGCCGAGTGAAAGGAGAGCAGCAAGAGGGGAGGAAGGGTTGAAGGTGAAAAATGCTTTAGGGTCTAAAAGATATTTCTGTACAAGCTGCTTGCAACCGTTGGGGCTGAACTTAAAGCCTGGGAAGAGGTCCAGGGCTGGAAGGATGATGCGGGGGAGTAGGTGATGGGTGGAACCAGACGTGGCTCCCCAAGCTGTGGCTTCAGCCACCATAGATTCTGCACTGTTGATGAGAAGGGACTTCAGATCCCTGTTGCTATGGTTTCCTGGAATAATCTCATGTCCCAGGGGAACATTCACCCTTCCTCCTCTGTTCCGGAAGGACTGCTGGGGATTAGGATAAGAAGAGCAGGGCTGTGGAATGTATCGTCTCCTCTGAGTGGACTTTGGCCTCCCTGTGGGGACTAAGCTGGCTGTGTGAGGGGGAAGGAGTTCCTTGACAGTCAGCAGGAAAGACCTCCCAGATTAGGATTAACAAGAGCTGTGTGGCTTCAACAGGCTGAGGGTGACAGATTGGGAACCCAGAAGTTTCATCATGACTGCAGGGGCTGCGGGGTTTCTTGTTGGCTGTTTTGGGGCCCTCTTGCCTCTGGTCAGGTTCTTCTGGGAGGTGCCAGAGACATTGAGGCGGAGGGTGGTGGCGGGGGCGGGCTCCAGCCCCAGCCCCCGGAGGAAAGGAGACAAGGCTCAGGTGTCGAGGTTTCCACGCAGCCCATACAACCGGAGCTGGGGAGGCTTTATTCGTTTGGGGAAGGGTGAGAACAGGAATGAGACGCAGTGTAAAAGTGGAAGGAGAGGCGCAATACTGTATGAAAAGAGGGAGAACAAAATCTAGTACAATGCGCAGCCCAACACAAACTCAAGGTGTGGGGGAGCAGGGGTGAGGGGGCAGCCGCCATCACCAGGCCTGAGGCCCAGCCCACCCGGTCTCTTCTTCTGTCAGATTTGAAGGGAAACTTGGGACCCTTGAGCGCCGAGATGGGGTGAGAGGGTCGATACCGACGGGCCTGCAGCTGGCACCGCGGCCCGGCCGCCCTGCCTGGCCTGGGGCAGACAGCCCGCTCGCACCCCGCACTCACCCCGACGCCCTCCCTGCCCTTCTCATGGTTTCTCCCCGGGAACAAGGGAAGCGGGATGTCAACGCGGGGGAGCTCTGACACAAGGAATGCCGTCAGTGTGCCGAGCCGGCTCTCGCCTGCCTGCGCTCTGAGGCCAGGGGGTGGGCCTGGGGATGCTCCTGCAGCCGAGCCTGAGAACCACCCTGAGAGAGGGCCCCGGTGCGCACAGGCCGCTGGGCTGGCTGCCGGCCAGGATCAGACCCATCCCAGAGACAGGAAGTCAAGTCCCAGCTGGAAGGCGTGGGGTGTGAGATGACAGGGCCCAAAGCAGACGCGGCCCCCTCTGGGCTCCGCTCCCCAGAACCCTGGCCCCCGGCTTCACCATCAAACCCAGGGCTGGGGCCACTGTTCTGCCCCCTTGACCAGGCCCAGGGAGGGTGGGGTGGCTGGCGTGATGGGTGAAGGTGACTATGTGTGAGGCCAGGGAGGGAAAGCACTGTCAGGCGGGTGGGTGGGTAGGCTCTCTACGCCCAGTTCCCTTACGCCATGCACAAGGACCCCGGCTTTGGGGAGCAAGCACCCACCCCCACCCGATCCACCTTCCTCCACTAGCTTTCTCTGACCTCACCTTGACCCCTCGTTGGCCAGCAGCCCACACTTGGCGGGGGAGTGGGCAGAGGAGCCCAGGCTGAGAGCCAGAAGGCAGTCCTGGGTCAGGAGGAGGAGCCACGCTCCTTGCTCCTCACAGGAAGTGCGATGAGGTGATGCTGAGGACGGTGACTAAGGCCCCAAAGTCCCTGCCTCTGCCTCCCCAGAACTGTGCAGCCAGGCCGGCCCCAGGAAGCAGAGCCTGTGTAAACACGCCCAAGGGGAGGAGGGGTTGCTACATATGAGAAACGGTTAAAAATAAATTAAAAAGCACCGCTGTACCCTGTGGTGGTCTCCACAGGCCCAAGGTCTCAGCCAGGAAGGGGGAGTGCTCAGGGGTTACCAGCTCGGGGTGGTCAGCGGCCTCCCTCGCCGGCAGCTGTGGGGGCAGGGGCTTCACTGGGCTTCCCTCTCCCCAGAGGCTGTGGGTTGGAGCGCCCCTCCAGGCTCCTGGGTGGGAGCAGCTGCCTGGCGGGCGTGTCCCTGGCCCAAGCTCCCAGCCCCCTCTCACCTCTCTGGCCCTCAAGCCCTGTGGTCCAGTGGGGCCTCTGGGGCCACGCCCACTGGTGAGCGGCCTGCATGGGCACTCAGACCCAGACCCAGAAACAGCCTCGCCGTCAGCCCCCTGCCTCCCCAAAGTCAGCCATCTCTGCCTCAGGGGGATGTGGCAACACTGCGACCGCCACCTGACTCCCTGACAACTGGGATGGAGGGTGAGTCAGGGGTCACCATGGCCGGGGTGTAGCCCAGGGGGCAGGTTAAGTACCTCCCCAGGGACCCATGAGGAACCCAAGGGCCTGGCCCCCGGCCCCCTTGCTGGGCCTGGCTCTGGGCTAACAGCTGCTGGCCGAAGAGCTGCCAGTCCCTGGCGCCTTCCCTGACAGGCACTCGCATCAGCAAAAGAAGTCTGTCTCCCTCCCTCCTCCTTCCTTGCTTCCAGGGCACCATCCATGGCCCGGGCGGGCTGAGAGCTGCACTCTCTCTACTCCACTCCACCTTCTCTGGTGACAGGGTGGCCACGGGGTCTCCTGTGTGTCTCCCATCTGCAGGGGGAGTGAGATGAATGAACACAGACCACTGCCCACCCTGGGAGCCTCTGCAGCCAGGCCTGGGCCTGGCCCGGCTCACCCCGCCCCGGCAAGCCTGGAACTTCCATACTTCCCACTGCCCAGCCCAGCTCTCTCTACTGCAGAGATTACAGACCCGCATTCTCTTTCAGGCTGGGTTTTTAAATTTCCTGAACTGATTGCCAACATTTAAAAATCAGGATATTTCACATAAAAATGCAGAGTTCTGGTCTCTAAAAATAAATCAGAAAACCTGGCAATGCAGAGCCTGCACTCAGAAAAACTGAGCAGCCATAGCTGCTTTAATGGGGGACATGCCCTCTTTAGTTTGCCACAGTTCCCACCCAGCCCTGCGGTCCTGCCTGGCCCTGTAAGGCATTTGAGTTTCTAACTGTAGGTCTGAGCCTCCCTTTTCCAGGCTCCCAGCCCCTCTGCAGCCGTGCTGACCGCCCCTGGCTGCATCATAGCCCCTCAGTAAAAGAAACCATGCACTACCCTTCCGTAGCCTGAATCCTCTCAACGGCTCCCTGGCGAGTAACCATCTAGTCGTTGCTTGAATACCTCCAGCAACAGGAACTCACTCCTCCCCAAGGCAGCCCGACTCTAAACTCTCCCCCACATCCTTTTCTCACTTACACCCCCCACTCCTCAGGCTCTGCCCCTCCTCGGGGGCCACACTGCATCCTTGCCCTATTCCTCTTTGTTGCTTGAACCTCCAGAAACTTCCCCAAGCTCCATCAACCTCTTCTACACCCTCTCACCTGCCTGCCAGCTCTCTCATGCCAGACAGGAAGGCTGTGCGGGCTCTGGCTGTTCAGGTTCTTCCCTGACAAGAGGCCTGACCATCACAGGGGCCCACAAACCTAAACAGGCTGCTCGGAGAGGGGAGGTGGGCCCAGGGCACAAGCTTTCTGGTCTGGTCTTCATTCACCCAGCAAGGGCTGAGGTAATAGGAGGCAGGGGGTCAGGGTCCGCCCCCCGGGTACTGCCAGGGGACAGACCCAGACCTGAGTGTACCACCCTGTCCCCAGCCGCAGTTCCTGGACCCACCAGCTCAGCTCAATTCCCACAATCACACTGAGCCCAGGGCGAGGCTGAGCCCTCAGCAAAGCCTAGCGCCTGTGCAGGGAGCCTCAGCTTCAGCAACAGACAGAGCTGGCCTGAGCAAGAGGGGCTGGGGGCTGGGAACTTCCCCCAGAGGTTCTCTCCTGGGCTCTCCCACAGCCCCAAGCACGGGGCATGCCGGTAGGCAGTGTCCGCACGGCAGCACCGTCTGTCCATGGGGCTCCTGGGCTGTGGGCTTCCACACTTGAGGGAGATGTCGACTGTGTCAAGCTCCCTGCATGGGCCCAGGATGCTTCCTACCCTGCTTCCTTTTCCCTGTGTCATGATGCTGCCAGTGTAGACGCAAGCTGAGGACACCTCGGCTCCTCCGCGGTCCTGCCACAGGCCCAGCAGGCTGGGAGAGTCCCCGTACAGGGACGGACCCAAATCCCAGGAGTGGCCGGGGGCAGGGAGACCAGCGGAGCCAGCAAGCCCTCCTCACTCAGCCTCTGGCCTGTTAGATCTCCTAAGTACTGGCCCGCCAGCCATTGGCAGATCCATTCCATTTTTAGTTTTCTCCAAAAACCGTAAACTTTAGTCGTCAAGTTAAAAACGTCAAATAAAATACTAACGGCTTCTTGGCCCAAAGCTAGGAGGCTTGGCCCAGTGGGAGGGGCAGCGGCTCAGCGGCTGAGCTGGAACACACTTCCTGCAGCCTCTCACCTGCCCCATCACCAGCCCTTCGTCCCACGAGCCAGGCTGGTTCTGGCAGGAGATCCTGGCCCCCAGACGTGGGTGCAGCCGGGGTGCTGCCACCGCCTCACACCCGGATCTGGTACCCATTGAGGTCCGGCATGGCTTTGGGCTCGGGAGGCTTCTTCTCACCCGAAGGCCTGCAGGGAGGAGAGAGCAGAGGATGGGAGAAGGTGAGCGCCCGTCAGGGAGGTGGGGGAGAAGGGAGCAGGGGTGGCTGCCCCTGGTGTCTGCCCTGCCTCCATTCTCCAAGGTGCCCTGGATACGGCAGCAGACTCTGCGAGGGAGTGTGCTTCTGGACCCCCGCCGGCCTGTGCTGTCCTGAGGCTGGTCCTGCACTCTCTTACAGGGTCCTGCTCTTTGCCAGGGGCCAGCTAATCAGGCCACAGTTGGCTGTAAGGGGAACCCGTTCTCTGCAAAGTTCTCCTAGACCAGAGTGGATGATGCTGAGTATTGGAGGCCTGCGTGGAGCCCCCGAATCATATTGGAGACATGGCTGCTGAATGATGATGATATTGAAAGCAAGAACCACAATGACAGGTAGAAGACAGATCAGAGGTGGTAGCCTGGCATTTTAATGGGATGTCTCTGCCACCCAAATAGAGGCAAAAACCAGACTCACAGGGGCAAAAGTTACGTTTAAAACCATCTACCAGCTGCCACGTGATGTTCACATCTTTCCCAACAATATTCCTAGGAGAACTCACTGTCTGGCAGGAGCCCACCCGCCTCCTCTCCCTCTCCCTCCCTCACACGCTGGCCTCAGGCCTCTGTACGGACCTCTCGCCCAGCACGGGGTACCGGTGGGCCAGTGAGTGCTGCCCTCTCTGGGGAAATGGGAATGCATTGCTCCGGGGAGGTGCGAGCACACAAACGCACAAACCCATCATCCCAGATCACCTCTCTCCAGGGGGGGCGAAAGTGGAAATGAGAATAGCAGGGTGAAAACAAAACGGGCATCTAGAAGATGAGAGAAAAGGGCAGTCCTTTTCCAGCCTCCCAGGCTTGACCCATCACTCACCGCCTTTCGCTGCGGCTGTTCCTGCGGTGGGGGCTGGACTGGCTCCGCTGTGGGGAGGACACATCCTTCTTCCGGTCCTTGGTTGGGGACGGAGGGCCGGTCCCTTTGCCAATCTTGGTGGGGAGGAAGAAAGACTCAGTGCAGGGCTGCCCCAGAGTGCATCCCGCTCTGTAGAAGCCATAAGCCCCGAGACTGCACTGGCCAGACCCAGGAAGCTCAAGCGACTGCTCGGCCCTGTCTCCTGGTCTTCCCAAACCTGTTTTCTGGGCACCAAAGCCGCCAGGGCAGGGGTTCCTCAGCAGGGCTGCTCAATCCCAGTTGGCCCCTAAAACAGTGTGGATGTGGAGGGAAGTCCCTGGGCTTTCGTGATTCTGTAAGAGGCCCCCGAGAAAAGGGCCATCCACCCATGCAAGACAGACGTGCCAGCTGCGGGTGGGGGGAGGGGCATTTCTGAGCGTTGGGCTGGGATGCTTCCAGCCCCAAAGACGACACTGGTCATCTAGCCCATCGGAAGCTCAGACTGGTAGCTATTAAGAAACAACTAAGAAAATGAATTACCCTTTATGTAGCACAGTCAGCTTGATCTGAATTTTGAAACTCTGGAGGTGCACTGTGGGGATGCTGGGGAGGGGCAGGTAATATGGGGAGTCCTTAGCACCAAAGAGACTGGGAATCACAGCACTAAAGGAAGGCTAGGTAACCACTGGTCTCAACTCAAGATCCAACCTGCTCCCTTGAAGATGCAAAATACTCCAGTAGCAGGAGCCAGGGAGCTGGCCGACCAGAGCTACAGAGGGGGCGGGGTCAGCTCAGGGTGGAGAAGAGCGGCCCTGAAAATGGCAGGTGAGCTGCAGCTGGCTTCTGTCTGGGGGGGAGGTGCTGTCACCCCATAAAGTCACAGCCTAAGGGCTGGCCAGGGCAGGGCCTCCTGGGGCAGGGCCATGGGGAGCCTCAGCGGATGGGAAAGTGCCAAGGTCTGGTTTCGGCACCAGGCTGCCAGGAGGGGCAGAGTCATAGCACAGCAGTGACTGAGAAATGGGGAAGGGCCTGGTGGGCCCCAAGGGGGCACCCTCTGTCCATGGGGACCGCGGGAGAGCCTAAGATTCCACACACTGTAAAGCTTGGGGACAAACTCCTCAACAGCTCAGCCCACCTGCTCAGGGGACAGGAGCCCCTCCCCCTCCTGCTCATTGGGGTGGGAACGCAGGACAAGGAACTACTGTCTCCTTGTCTTCCCATGGTCTTCCTTCCTTCCTTTTTCTGACTTCCTCCTAGTCTTTCATTGATGGGGTGGGGGTGTTCAGAGGTCTGGAGGCAGGGTACACAGAGGGAGATGGAAGCTACTTCTACCAACCCTACCATTCCCTGCAGACGCCATCACTTCCTCCTGCCAAGGGGCCTTTACTCACAGATCTTTACTCTCTACCTGGAGTGTGGCACTCCTGCCCTTCTCCAAATATTCCCCAAAACTAGCTCACTCGCCGTCTCCTTCTGGAGCCTTCCCTGGCCTGCCCATCTGACGGGACTGTCTCAACATCAGTGACCTCTGAGCAAAGACACTGTTGAAACTTCCCACCCACCATCTCCTGGCACCACCTCTGGTGGAGTGGCAGTGGGAGTGGGGGAGGGGGCGGTGGCATTCCCACTAGGAGGCGGCAGCGTGGCCTTTTCCACCCCGGGGCACAGGACCTTTTGCACAGGGGCAGGGCCGGCACCCACACTGACCTTGAGCCGCATGTCACGGGCGTGCCGCTCCAGCTCCTTGCGAAAGTCCTCGCGGCCCAGCTTGTCCACGTCCAGGACGGAGTGCTTCCACTCGATCTGCTCCACGCTGTGTGGGTCGTGGGACACGCACTGGCCCAACTTCACCTTCTTCAGCACATGCCAGCAGCGGCCGTAGGCGGCTTCATAGTCCAGCACCAGCTCGCTGAGTGTGCGGAAGGCTGGCGGCTTGTACATCAGGTCCTCGCGCCGGCTCATGCCCAGGGCCCCATAGCGGCCCCCGAAGTTCACCCCCAGCACAATGTGGCGGAAGTAGTTCCCTGAGAAGTAGGACTTGAAGCTGATGGGGAAGCGTTCCAGGGTGGGCATGCTGTTGGTGAGGTAACTGGCATGGTCAGCCCAGCTAAGGAACCAAGCAGGAAGTGGGATGGGACTGCATGACCGCCACCCCAGGGGACAGCCTGTGTGAGCGGCCCCTAGACCCCCAGCTCCTGACCCTTGGCCTTGCTCACCTCCATACCGTGTTGTCCAGCCTTGAGCCTAGCGAACAGTAGGTGCTCAATTAACTGAATCTCTAGGGGGACAGGGTTCTCAGTGATTAGTGGCTGCTGCTATGACGTCAAGCACAGCTCACAAAATAACAGCTAGTAGTGAGTCCTTCCCTCCAAGCTGCAGGCTCTCCAAAGTCCTTGTGGCTGAAGGAGGCAGGGAGAGGCCTGCTGGCCACCCCGCTGCCCCCCTACCCCGTCATACGTGCGCATGCGCGTGCGCACATATATACACACACACACACATTTCTGCTCACCCCTCCATTCTCTCAGACACATTCTCACATTGTCTTTCTCTCTCACGCATACATTTCCTCACAGATGCAGACAATTCTGCTCTTTCGCCTCCTGCCGCCCCCTCCATACACACATTTATTGCGTTTTGTCCTGCAAATGAAACCGAGCTTGTGCCCGGGCTCCTGGGTGGCCAGCGAGGCCTGGCCCGGTGCTCACTCCAACTCCTTCCCTCACTCGCCCCCCTTGCTCACCCTCTCCGTCCACCTGGACTTCCCCCCAGAACCTTCTGCACCAGCTTTCCCCAGAGGCCTGCGCCTGGCCTGCTGCTGACTGGCTCCTTCTCATGCCGCAGGTCTGGCCGTCATCACTCGCTGGCCTCCCATTCTAAAGCAAGTCTGCTCTGCTCTTCTTTTCCCCACGGCACACTTGCCACAATGTGTAATTACTTTATGTATTTGTTTATTTGTTGTCACCCCCGCTGGAATGTAAACTTGAGAACGGGGACCTTGCCTGTCACGTTCTTTGCTGTTATCTCTGGAGCCCAGTGTGAAGGCAGGGACATAATAGTTACTCAGTAAGACTCTTCCTGAACAAATGGGTAGAAGACGAATGAGAAAAAAGCTTGGCGTAGAGACTGCGTACAGATACTCTGCCAAGTGCTCTACGTGTACCCACTCATTCCATTGTCCTGGCAACCTGTGTGACAGGCACTACCATGGTCCCCTTTTGCGCAGGAAGCTGCTCAGGCTCAGAGATGTTAAGGAACTTGCTAGGGGTTACACAGTATGTAGGTGGCAGAACTAGGACTCAGGACCCCGAAGTCTATGCTCTCAGTCATTACAATCCTTACTGAGCCTAACTCCTTGCAAGCAACTGAGGACACGGAGGTGAGCAAGGCATCGGCTCAGAGTGCCGAGGATGAGGCACAGGGACAAGCTCGGTCCAGTGGCCGCCCTGTGCGCAGCGACTGAGGGAGCTGTGGCAGTGCAGTGGGGACACTGGGGAGGTCCTCCCTCCACGTGGGGGCCGTCCTGTTTTCTTCCTGCCCACGAGACACGAGGTAGCCCATGGAAGGCCTCTGAGATGACTGTGTGATCCCGAGTGGACCAGCTTCTGTGTGTGTGGGCGGAGGGGAGCAGTCCCCCTCCTCCCGCATGTGTGGGAGCCCCATGTTGGTGTGTGACCCCTGAAGGAGAAGGGGTCACAAAGGAGGTGCTGTGGCCTGAAGTACTCAGGCTGACCTCATGCTTGTCCCAGCAAAGAACCCTTTAGACAGGGCAAGGCTCGTCAGCCTCTTGGAAATGGCAAACAACTGCACCGAAGACTTAGCTCTAGGGATGCTGGGGGAAGGGCCGTAGCCCCCTTGACCCCGCCCCTTGCCTCTTTGTATAAATGAAGGCAGCTCTGTCTATGGGGAAGGGGGGATCGCCCCCGTGGATCGTGGTCCTCCAGAAAGGCTGTGCTCCTCCCCTTTGATTGTGTCCTTCTCCCCGATCTGTTCTAGTGAGCAGACTCCTTGTTCTGTTAGGCGGCCGCCCCCACTCGGTCCTCTTTGCACACTGAGCCAGGCGCCTGCACCCGAGGTGGCAGACAGAATATTTAAAAGCCTATGGGACTCGGGGAAAGGCGGGAGATGTGAGGGATACACAGAGATGAGTCAAGATTGGCCTTCAGTAGGTAAGACTCAGTGCTGGGCACATGGAATTTATTATATTGTCTGTGTTCCCACAAGCTTAAAATTTTCTCTAGTCAAACAAAACAAAAACGGGCAAGGCTCTGGCATGAACCAATTAGGGCAGAGAACCAGCTGCCTTACACCTGCCTCTACCCTGTCCTAACTGGAGGCTCGTCTGCCCTCCTTGGAGCCCAGCTGTAGGTCCCAGTTCTGCCCTTTGGGTGGGAGTGACTGAGAAACCCTACTTGTTATTGTTGTTGTTGTTTTTTAAAGGCAGCAGTTGTTTCAAAGATTTCATTCATCATTTCCACAAATCAATGTGTTCTGGAAATGCCAACATTTGGGCATTGAACCTGCTTGTCCCGGGCCGTCTGGTTCTTGGAAATGGCACAACAGCCTTTGTGAGATGATGTGCCACGATTTGGGATTCAGAGAACACAGTCACTGCATCCATGTGACTCAATAAAGAGCTTCCCAGTGAGCCCAGGAGTTAGCAACTGACGCATGGGGGACTGAGATCCCCGCAAGCCCATTCACTTTGGAGCCAAGTTCACGACTGCTGGGAGACAGAGCTGGGAGACCCCCTGGATCCCATCAGTTCTCCCCTTCCAGAGAAGGAAGCCGGGGCCCAGAGGGGCTGGACACATGCCAGCCCTCCCAGGCTTCCTGGGGCTGAGGAAGGATACATTCCCAGGATCACGGCTTCCAGGCATTTGATTGGCAGAGCCTCTTTGGTCATCTCCTTGGCCAGGTCCATCAGCCTGGAGGGCAGGAAGGCAGAGACGTGAGCACAGAGCCTCTAGCTCTTTCCAGTGGAGGGGGGGACAGGAGAACTAGAAATGCCAGAACAAAGATCCCTAACCCTTCCAAGCTGCCTCAGCTCAGGCCCAGCACCTCTCTCCCCTCCCCCATATCCATCCTGAGCCAGAGAGGCTGGCAGAAGAGGCCGTCACTGAGGATAAGGAAGGAGGCCCCTTCCCTTCCCTCCTTTCACTTCCTCCCTGAGTCCAGGCTCCTGCTCCAAAGGCCTCTGGGGGCGGGGAGCATGAACGGAGGGCACGCAGTCACAGGCAGCTCTTTGGCAGCCACTGGGCTGGCGGCCCTGTGCAGTGGCGTTGCGGGGGCTGTGGGAAAGCGCACCACAGATACTGGGAAGCTCAGCATTGATCTCATCCCTTCTGGAGCACAGCAGAGACCCCCAATCTAACCATGGCCTCTCCAAAGAGCTTGTAATTGATTGCTACTGTTCCCCCACGGCTGGCCAGCTGCCCGGGTCCTGGACATGGCATCTCAGGCTGTGAGCCCGGTGGCTCCCCAGCCTGCTCCTGAACTTGGAATTCGGGCCACTTGAAGATGGCCTGTTCCTGAGGCCTCCTTCCTCCCTCCTCACTGATTGCTGCCTCCAGGTCTAGGAATGCAGCCTGGCCAGTGGCTTTGCCCAGGAGGGCGCTGGACTCCTCCACGCCACTGGGGGTGGAGCTGGGCCTCCGGCACATGGCAGCCAGAGGACAAGAGCAAAGCTTTTAGGGTGAGGGAGGCTGGATTCCCCCCAGGGGCTTGGAGGGAATGGGGGTAGTTAAGTAATTTAGCTAATAAACCACCTCAAGAATTTTTTGCAAGAAAGTGAACATGGACAGGTTGTGTGGAGCAAGATGTAACATTTACATTAATTTTTAAAACATGGGGTTTTAAGCCTGTGGATAGCTTTGGGCCGAGCCCCCAGACCCAGTGAGGAAGTGCCACTCACTCCTCCCTCCCCTCTGCCCTCAGGGCTTCTGCGGGGCAGATCCAGCCAGGGGTCTACCTGTTGGGTGGTGGGTTAGGGAGTGAGAGATGCAGTGCGTCCCTGTTGCTCAGACACTGGGCCTTGTACTAAGTGACCAGGAGAGAGTCCAGTAAGGCAACGGGGGTGACTCACAAGTTCCCTGCAATGGAGAATACTCTCTCTTGCTAGGCCCATGTCCCATCTTCATCATCATCATCATCATCATGACTTGTATAGACATCTACTTGGGACCACCCTCTTGTCATTACCAAGGCGAGCTGGGGACTGCCCACCACCCTCCCAGCTCAGTGTGGATGAGGTTCCCTTTTCATCATGGGAGCCCTGGTGCTCATCTCGGCCAGAGCTCCCCCTTTCTGGCACCCTGAGGGCCCCTGTGCGGTGCAGAGAAGGAGGTGGGCAGCGCAGTGGTACACCTGGCCCTGCTGGCACGCTCCCTCCGGGAAGGCCCTGCCTGCCTCATGAGCTTCCACCCGATGGGCTCCGGCCTGAGGGCCGCTGTCAGCCGTGGTGCAGAGGGACAAGGCACGTCCACACTTACCCTGTGAGGGGTCTGCTCTTCTTAATTTCAAAGAACTGGGTCCCTGTGTGATTGTACCTGCGGTGCTGGTTAAGGGCTTCCTGGCTTGGTCTGGAAGAGGTGCGTCCCACTCCCCGAGCCCGTCCCCCAGACCCTGCGGCCCAGCACTCCTGGGGGTGCGTCCTCCCAGAGGCACCTGGGAGGGTGCTCAAGACCTGATGCCTCGAGGGGAGAGCAGGGCACAGCATGGGTGCTTCTCCTTCCCACAGGGCCCCTCTCTGCCTTCCGCCCTGCTCTCCCCCGGCCTTCCCTCCCAGGAGGGGAGCCGTGCAGCAGGCAGCCAGGCCAGCCAGGGCTGGGCAAGTGGCGGGGCTCTGGGCGGCTCTAGCAGCAACATGAACCAGGAGAAGGCGGGGTGGGGGTGGTGTCCCGCCCAGCTAAATTGCTGGGTGCTGCTCCTGAGCCAACCCCCTCCCCTCTCCAGGCCAAAATTTCCCCACTGACAATGGAAAGGCTGGATCAGACTTTCAGTAACCAGCCTGGCTTTTCTGCTGCTCAGGACTGGATCCTTCCATTTCTGCTTCACCTGCAGTTAGAAGGGCTGAGGGAAAGAACCCAGGACACACAGGGCAGAGAGCAGAGGATGGAGGGGCCCAGAGCAGGGACACCGTGGGACCCAGGGCTCAGGGGATCCAGCTCTTCCCATGATTGAAAACTGGCCCCTGCCAGATAAGAAAGGCAAAACCTGGGAGGACATTCTAGGATGTGGAAGTTCTCTCCCAGGGCATAAAATCCTTTTTCCCCTCCGTCTACACCTCCACCCTCGACCCCCCACTGCCTTCAAAACTACTCGCTTTTAGACTAAAGGAGCCTCCCCTCTCTCCTCCTGGTCTAGATGGACACGTGAGGTCTGGGCTGGTGGACCTAGACTTTGCCACCCACCAGCAGGTCACTCAGGAGACATTTGCCCATCATACCGAGAGGAAGCGGTGGCAGACAGTGGGTTCAGCACTCATCAGAGTCCCTCCCACGCCTAAGTGCACTCACGCTGGGCTTGCCCAGCTTCAGGGGCGCAGAGGTGCCCTGTGAACGGCGGCCCTGCAGTTGTGGCGTGAGGTCGCTCTGCCAATACCTCTCCACCCCCGTCTGAAAACAAGCCCCACTCAGCCTTCGGACCAGCATGCCAGCCAGACAGGGGCCGTGGGCCCAGACCTGGGAGGATACTGCAGCTCCCTGATGTAGCGCTGCACGGCTTCCAGACGCTCAGGGACAGGCGTGGAGGGCTGGAACGCAGGCACAGTCGGTATGGGAATCTAGGGACAGAGAAAGAGCTCCGGTCACAGAGGAAGGCTTCCAGCCCATCAGACACCCAGGTTATCCAACAGAGGAGCCACGGGCGAGGGGGCGTCCCTGCTTCCCTCCTACCCCGAGCCTCTCCCCTTTCCAACCCTTCACTGAGGCCCCAGTGGCCAGCCCTCTCCCTCCCAGCCCTTGACAGCCTTCCTAATTGCGAGCTTATGTTGCTGTTCCAATTTTGTGTTTCTTTAATAATTTTAGAAAAACAGGTTGACTCACCGACTGTTGTGAATTTCAAGTATTCATTAACTTTAAGGTTTAACAAGAATGTCAAGATTGCAGGTAAGTTCATTTGGATGTGGGGCTCCTTCTGGTTCAAGTGCTGGATCAAACTGGTTTACCTGGTGACCCTCCTCTCAGGACCCTGCCTGGGGGGCGCACTCCAGTGAGGGATGAACACACCCCCGGCAGAAGGTGTCACCCAGCCCCTCGTGGCACGTTGACCAGGCCTTCCAGCTCCTACCCGAGCTGGAATAAGTTAGTGGTGGCAGGCCAGACAGACTGTGGGACAGGTCTTGCTGTGGCTCTGCTTGTCACGCTCTGGCCACTTTGGAGAGGTTTCAGGGAGGCAGGGGAGTCCTGGTTCCCCTTTAAAACCTCCCTTCCCTGCCTGCTCCACACCTGTCAGCAGCACGGGTAACCAGGTCACCAGGCAGTCCCCGCCAGAAGAGACTTTCCGGTGCCTTGCCCAGGACAGGGAGAGATGGGGGGTCAGGCAGGCCTCTCCTGACGGCTGGGAACGGACAGGCGTGGGCTGCTGAGAGTTGGGCAGAAGCTGCAGATCGCAGAGGCTGTCCCCTCAGCAACCAGGCGGTCTCCAGCGAAAGGGGCCACCATGCAGGAGTGGGTCCTGGGGTCCCAGGCCACCTCTGGCCAGGAAAGCCCGAATCCTGGCAGTTTGGCTGTAGCAAGTCAGTGAGGCCAAGGAGGCCAAGACAAGCATCAGCTCAGTTCCCCTGGGTACAGAACAGGCTTCTTTGGGCAGAGGAGCCAGATTGCCAGGAACAAGTCCCACTCCTCTGGCGCCCCCTTGGCTACCAGCACTGCCAGCTGTCAAGTGGCGTCAGGCTCCTCACAGAAAGAGAGAGATCCCACCCTCTTGTCCCAGGTCCCCACCCAGCGCTCCCTCCCACAGAGCCCACCCCACAGGCTGGGGCTGTTGAGCATCATAGTCTGAAGGGGTGGGGGGTGTGAAGGGAAGGGGTGAAGCAGGAGCCCCCTGGGAGCTCGGGGTAGGGCTGGGGTGGGAGAGGCCCTCCCTGTAGCGAGATGCTGAGCTGAGTGGGCACAGCCTTCTAAATAACGTGGCTGCTGTGGCTGGGGCTCTGACACTGAGGGAAGTGACACACAGTGATCACCGTGCGCTCCTGTCTGGGGTGCTGCTGACGGCCAGGGGCACATGGGATGGACACCAAGTCACTCCAAAGGGCCCAGATGCAGGAGGGAAGGCCCAGAAGTGACAGCTCTGCAGGCACTTCCTCTCCCCCGCCCCCTCCCCGTCCCCTTCTCCCTGTCTGGGCAGCCCCCCAGGCTGACACCTCTGTCTGTAAGGAGCTACTTCCCCTTTCACATCCACAGCTGCCCAAACTGGTGCTACCACTTAGTCATGGGTCGGGGAGTGGGGGTGGGGTGGGTGGATAAAAGTCCCAGGATATGGGGGAAGTTCCCTTCTCCTGCAAGACCACAGGCCTGGCTTGACCTCCCCAGTGTCAGGAAAAGGGGGCAGGGAGGGTGAGAGGAATTCCTTCGCCCATTACTGTAACAGCACAGCACCTGACCACCTCAGGTGGAAGGGCCCTGAGAGGCTATCTCTACTTCTCAAGGCAGGGCATCCAGTGATTTCCGGGAGCTCTGGCTACAGACCGAGAGTGCTCTCCTGAGACGCTCCAAACAAGGAGGGAACTGCAGTCCGGGGGTTCTTTGCCTAAGCTCCCCCCTGCCCTGGGTGAGCAGTGCCCGTGAAGACATCCCCTGACATCCAGACAGAGGACGCAGGCACTGGCTGCTCTGGGAGACGGGAGGGAGGGAGGGAGAGACAGACAGACACCGGGGAGCAGGGCCTCTGAGGCCGCCATCACTGGGGCTTGGCTGGGAGAAGCTGTCCGGCCAGCTCCAGGACTCGGCTGACCCGGCTGCAGACAGCGGGGACACCGTTCTTCCGAACGCCCGTACAAGTGTACGCCCGTTCGCTCAGAAACAAGTTTCTGTGCATCCAAGTGACCTGGCCCACTTTAGGACTGGTAGCCTAGAGCTGCCCCGACCCCCATCTCCAAACAGCGAGCCAGGAAATGCTTCTTCACTGTTGAGGGTCAGAGTGCAGTGGAGGTGAGTGATATTGGCTTCCCAGATCTCGTTCGGGACACTTTCTCCACTACCAAGGCCAAGGGTTACCCTTGAGGGAGGAACTGCTAAAGTCCTGAGCTCTATCCAGTCATTCTACCTGGTGAAGGCTGCTTCAGTCCAGCACAACAGGGAGGCCTGGGTAAGGAAGGACGGCCAACAACTGAGTGTGTGGGCAAGAAGCAGACAGCATAGAGGTGGAGAGAGCAGTTCCCGAACCAGACCACCCATGTCTAAATCCCAGCCCTGCCATTCACCATCTGCATCAAGCTCCCTAATGTCCCTGTGCCTCGGACACCTCCCTCGTAAAAGGAGCATCATAATAGAACCACCCTCACAGGATAAATGAGGTGCTCCTAACATGGCCTTAGGACAGAGCCAGGCAAAGCTCAACTCCCGCTCACTGTCACTGTCACTCCAGTGCGTGCCAGAGCTACTGGTCCGCACGTGCTGACCCGAGGTCCAAATTCGTATTCTGTAGGAGCCCCGTGGCCAGGGCCACAGTCAGAAGACCTTCAGCAGCTGGGTCTGGGAGGAGTGGCCATTGAGCTTTTAAAGGTGGTAGAAGCTTGGAACATCAAGGTGGGATTCTTATGAAGGATCATAAACTCTTCCTGCATCCGGGGTGCTTTTAGAAATGGCTGTCCTATAACATACTGACTGGTACCAACCTTTTAAAGGACTTTTCTCCAAAGCACCTGTGGGGTGGCCATACCCTCAGTTCTTGCTCCATTTGTTGTGTATGAATTACATGCTCATCTGTTTCACATGCTTTTACTTCATCAGCTCCTCCCAACATCCTTAGAAATGGATATTGCTGGTATCCCCATTTCACAGCTGTGAAAACCGAGGCACAAGGACCTGCAGACCTCCCTCCCGTAAGTCGTCATGGGAGAACAGGGATTTTAACATGGCGGATCTGACTGCAGGACTCTCTTTATCACACGACACGGCAGGGATCCCAGACTCAACCACCTGCAGGGACCACTCAGGGTAACCAATGGGGGAGGCAGGCGGGACTGAGAGTGGAGACCGTAGCCAGCTGGGGGAGGGGGGCCACTCCTCAGCCCCAGCTGCCCCCGCCATGTGTGAGCACAGATTCTCTGTGCCCTGATCTTCTCATTTTCCGAAAAGATGCCAAAAACCTGGATCTTCATGTGAAATATTCCAATTTAAAATTTCACAAGTGTTCTTCTTACACATTGTGCTGTCCCAACAAAACAACTCTTGGGCCCCCCATGGTGTGACCCCTGCAGAGAATGCGTCTGTCCCAGATCCAAGGGCACTGCCACTCGGGGAGAGGCCGGTCCAGGGGTCAGTTCACTCTGCTGCTGGCACTCGGGGACCCAGCCATTGATCCCTTTGGGGTTGTGGGGCTGCTTTCTACCCTGGGCCAAGGTCAAAGAGGAACCCCACACGAACTTGGTGGGGTTTTTTTATTTGCGACACTCTTTCCTGTGGTTTGAAGGGGGGAAATTATGAATTTTCCCAATCTTTTCACAAAATTCCTTTGACAATACCATACTCCTGTCAGTCATGATACACACTCCTCCAGACAACAGCTTCCATCCTTCATCGGTGTCCTTCCTATACATGATGGTTGGGGATGACAAGATGACATTATAGGCAAGTCGCTAATAAACTCATTGATTTTTTTTTTTTTTCGTTTCCAGGAGAACCATTCACACTCTTCTACAGCCTGGTTTAGACATAGCAAGATGGCTGGGGAGCTGCCTGCTAAACACTAACTTCCTCGTGTGGGAGAAGCACGTGGTTCGGCCCTCATTGGCCTGAGTGCAGTCTAGCCTCCCTTCCTAATGGACATGCAAAAGGAAATGAACCTCCAATAACCATTACTGACTTGAGGCCTTAGTTTATCAAATGTTTTAACACATATCTTCTCATTTAATCTTTACCACAATCAACCCCACATGACAGACGAGAGAAAACTATGGCTCAAATAGGTTCACGGAACCTGCTTAAGATCAGATAGATAAACGAGGAATCTGGACCCAACAGTCATATCCTTTGACTCAATATTTTCTATTCTGGGAATTTATCCCAAGGAAATAACCAATATAGACCACAAAATTTACATTTTAAAACGTTCCCATAGTGTTCATTTTTAAGAGTATATCATTGGAAAAATGTCCATCCACGGTCGATAAGCTAAATAAATTCTAAATTAGTACAGAGGCAAATGTGTAGCCTTCAAAATCAATCCACTCTGCTCTGGCCAGTGTGGCTCAGTTGGTTGGAGCATTGTCCCATAGACTGAAAGGCTGTGGGGTCAATTCCCAGTCTGAGTACATACCTGGGTTGCTGGTTCGGTACCTGGTTGGGGCAAGTACAAGAAGCAACCAGCTGATGTTTCTCTCCCTTCCTCTCTCCCTCCTTTCCCCTTTCTCTAAAGTCAATAAGCATGTCTTCAGGTAAGAATAAAAAAATTAAATGCCAAAATCAATCCACATTTTATTTCCTCTGGAAACATTAGGCTGTTGTTCAAATTTCAACCTCCAAATTCCTTTTTCCTAGAAGATGATTTCTCATGGCTCTACAAATAACTTGGTAAAAACAAGACAGAATGCTCATCTCTGTCTAATCCTCTTTAACTATCACCCTTCTCAGCTCCCTTCCCTCTCACCTGAGCAATGAGGACTAAGCACTGGGTTCCTGACGTCTGTCTGAAGGGCTTTTCTTTGAGGATGTCAGGCCTCTGCATTTGGCTTAACCGTAAGTTAACTAACTGCATTAGTTAACCATAAGTGTTAGAGAAAAAAGTCAGGCATGTATTTCCATTGTACAGCACAGAAAGTCTCAAGCACCCTTTCATTGAGCAAACACAGGATGCCTCAGAAAGACAGATGAATGAGTCCGAGCCTCAGCCCACACGGTGACACGACTTAGGACCGCCGTGATGGAGGGGTTCCAGCCATGCATAGGACACTGATTTAACTCTACCCTTTTCCACAGGTCCTCTTCTAACTGCCCCAATCTAGTGTCCAACAGAGCAGATGACCTGGATCCTGAAGACTAGGGACTGAGTCTTAGCTCCACCACTTACTGGCTCTTGACCCTGAGTTCCAATTTGAGTTGTCTTATTTCCCCTTTGGAAAATGGGTCCCCAATCTGCGCTTCCTTTCACAAGGCTGCTGGGGAATGCAGCGAGATAACACCTGGAAGTATTCTCTCAGGACGTGAAGCCCCTGTATCCTTCTTAGTCATTCATACTCTCTGCCCACAGTTCTCTGGACTAGCAAATAAGATGTCAAGCCATATTAGTGATCTTGTTAATCTGCTGTCCTTCTCATGAAGCATGGGTATTTTAAAATATATGAAGGAGGGTCTCCTGGAAATAGGGCACATGGACCTCACAGGACAATCTGCAGTTGGGAGAAAGTTCTTCTGGACAGGCACGGAAGAACTTTTTAAAAACCTTCCCATGCCAGTGGTCCCCTGCCCCATCAATGAAAGTGCTGTCCCAACCTCAAGCTGGTGAAAACCCTAGATTCCCCTCCCACCCCCGCCCCGCCCCAACACACACAAACTCCTCACCTTGGGCAGGTCCGTGGCTCCACGGATCCGCTGGGCCACCTTTTCTCCATCGGGGTGGATCTTGGCCACGTGCTTCCACATCCTTTCCCAGGTGGCCTCGTCCACAGGCAGCCCACCCCGGTTGACAAAGAAGGGGACACCTCCATCTCGCAGGTCCTCTTCTCCTTCCTCTTCTGGCTCATCATCTCTCTGGGCTGAGGCCCCTTCATTGGTCTCCAAATGCCTGACCCCAGAGGAGGCAGCAGTGGCAGTAGTGGGGGCAGCAGCGCCCCCAACCACCTTCTTCCCTCCTGGCATCCCCAAATCCTTGACGGGGGCGGAAGTAAGTATCGGGAGGCAGGAAAAGATAGGTGGTTCACAGGAGGCCTCCCGCACACCAGCTGCAGACACAACACATGGCCAAACAGAGTGCAAGGCGCCTTTAAGAAACCAGGGCGTGGCTCCAGTACAATAAAATACTATTCTATAAGGAAAAAAAAAAAAAAAAAAATCAGTGCCTCAACGTGAAGTCGGGGGTTGGTGGTCTGGGGTCAGCCTTAGAGGCCTTGTACCATCTGAAAAACAGTATAAGGAGAACACACCGCAACTTGGCAACCTTCAGAAAGCACCCCCATTTGACAGCGAGAACAATAACTGGCAGCAGTCTGGGCTTGCAGAGAGACGACAAGTCGGGGGGCAACTGAGGCCAGACAGCTCAGACCTGCGGCCACAGAGAGGGTCAAGGCACGGATGCCTACGCTGGGCTGCCCAGGTCCTAGTTTGGGAGAGAACAAATTCCTCTACAAAATTTCGCACGCTCACACCTGCGCGCTTCGGAGGGGAGGCTTCAGGCCGCATCAGCTCCGAGGCTGGACCACCCCGACCGCGGGCGGCGAGAGGGCGCGATTTCTTCACCGCGGCCAGTCGGGGAGCCAAGGCTCGCAGCTGGCGGGGAGTGGGGAGGGGGCACGCGCCGACGCGCGCATTCCACGCCCGCAGCCAACTCCCCGCACAAAGTGGGCTTTGTCTCTGCCCCCTGTCCCCGCGCTCCCGGGAAGCTGCAGCGGAGCCCCCAGAAGGGGGAAGGGTGCGGCGTGGTGAGCCAAGGCTCCGCCGGTCCCCGGCCGGGCGCGTCTCAGCGGGCAGAAAGCCGGCACCCAGCGCGGCGCTGCGTCAGCCGAGCCATCGCGGGGCGCGAGTCCCTCTCTGGGGCCCGGGGCTCAGCGTGGTCGCCCCGGGCGGCGAGCAGGGGCCAGGCTGAGGTCACCGAGCGACTGGCTCCGGCTGGGGGGTGGCCGCCGCGGACTGGCTGTAGCATGGGCGGTGGCGCGGCCGAGGCGGGCGAAGGATGCTTCGCGGCTGTTCGCTCGGGCTCCAGCGGCCCCGGCTAAGTGGGTGGAGGAAGGATCCGCGGGGAGGGGAATTCCGGGGACTCGCGCAGCCCCGGCCCCGCGGGTGGAGCTGGATGCGAGTGATAAAGCCTCGGAGAGGGCGAGCTGCGCTAGTTCCCGAAGAGCCGCCCGCAGAGCGCGGGGTGCATTCGCAGGTCGCGGCTCCGCGACTAAGTAGAGCTGGGGCCGCCGCGGTCCCAGTCGCCCCAGGGCCCAGCCGCCACTGGCCGCGTCCCTTGCCCTCCCGCCGCCCACCCGGCTGGGCCCTGGCCCGCGCGCGCATGCGCTCTGTCCCCCCCTTAAAGGGCCAGCGCGTTCCCGCCGGGTCCTCCGCCTTCTATTCCCATCCCTCCAAGTTACCTGTAGGATGGAGCCGGGCGTTCGTTCCTCCCTTACCCCTCTCTCCAGACGCCGCGAAGCTCGTGCGGAGCTGCGGAAGAAGTTTATGATATGCCAAAGTGTGCGCAAACTCCAGGGAGATTCCGGATTCAGAAGACACGCGGTCGGGAGTTTCCTAAAGGGAGTACCGCGAAAGGACCCTCAGGGTATAGAAGCGAGAGCGTGGCCTGAAAGACCGGGGTTCTAGACCAAGCCCAGTGTCTGTTTTTCTGTGGGCCATCTAACAGGTCACTTCCTTCTTTGGGCCTCAGTTTGCCAGCCAGTCAGCCGAGGTCGTCACACTGGGTGCGCGTAGAGCCCTCCCGGTGCGGTCGTTCCTAAAAGGTAGATATCTGGGGGTTATGGTCACTACCTCTGGAAGTGAAAGGGTTAAAAACCACTCTGTTCCACTCCAAGACCTGCAGCAGTGGGAGCGTACAGGGTTCGACGTTAGTCCGCCTGGACACGGCTCTGAGGCCCCTGCACCCCTGCAGGGAGCAAGCTGCGCCCCAGGGTCTAGGGTTGCAACCCGTGGAAATGGAAGGCGATGGTAGGGACCGCCAGCGCGCCCAGAAGACGGTGACATTACGGCCCATTGTTGTGAGCGGCCCCGGATGGCAAAGACCGTCGCCCCCTCCCCCTCCTTAGAACTGTTATGCAGAAAAGGCTCGAAAAGGGAGCATAAACGAGAACTTCACTAAATTGACAGACAGCCCGAGGGCTTTGAAACTCTTCCCCTTTCTCACGTAAGGAGATAGTGTGAATGACAGTCTGGTGGGGTAAACGTGGACTCTGGGCGCTCCGTGGGCAGATTCAGCTTCCTTAGGTCTGTGATGGGGGCGTTTTGCACCATCCCCTTGCCTGACAAGCTAACTTTACAACCTTGGGCTGGGACAGAGAAGGCCTCTGAGAATCCGAGGTCCTCAGTGGTTCGGCCTCCGTTTCTTAAAGTTGTTGCTGGTGTCCGAACTTCATAGATGCCCTGAGCTCCACTAGCAACCTCGTGTTCCTCCCGGGTCAGAAACCAAGGGTGATCAGTGAGGGGAAGGGTCTCGGGACTTCAAGAAAGCCAGTTAAGAGGGAAACCTCATAAGCTCACGGAGGCAAGAAGACTCCAAGCAAGTAAAAAGCATCAGGGATGACAATGGCAACCTGTTCATTGTGCAGATGGGGAAACCGAGTGTCAGAGAGCGAGTTCCCCTATATCACACAACTAAGGATTTCAGCTGTCGTCTTAACTTACTCGGACACTTAGCTGTCACCCTCACCTTACCTCTTGTGCTGGCAAAGTGGTTGTGGTGGTTTTAAAATCTTTGCAAGTTCTTTACCACTTCTCTTTTCAAAAGACAGAATTCTAATGCCCCTCCCCTTGAGTGTGGGCTGGACTTAGCAACTGGCTTCTAACAAGTAGAATGTGGTGGAAGTGATGTAATGTTAGACCCCACAAGCCTGAGTCATAAAAAGTAGACATTTCTCCTGTCACTTGCTTGCTTCCTCAGGACACCCATCCTGGGAACCCACCCACCATGCTGTAAGGAAGCCCAAGCCACGGGGAGAGGCGATATGAGGTGTCCTGGCTGGGCTCTCAGTTGACAGTCAGCATCGATCACCAGGTGGGTGGGGAACTGAGACGAGTCCAGCCCCCAGCCTTGGAGTCCTTCAGCTGAGGATCCTGGCATGGAACAGAGACAAGCCAGTCTCCCTGTGTGAATTTCTGTCCCGTGAAAATTAAGGGATAAGAATGTTGTTTTAAGCCAGTAAGTTTGGGGGTACTTTGTCACTAATACTGTGGGTTTCTTGAAATGACAAATAATAAAAATAGATTTGGGATAATCATTGAAACAGTAAGTTCTTCTTGGGCACCTTGAGGACCTTTGACAGGCCTGGCTCTATACTAGCACTGGGGATACAGTAGTGAACATGAGGGATATGCTCTTTGTCCTGTGAGGGCTTCTGTCTGCCAGTTCAGGAGGTGGCGAACCATGATTCCAATACTGAGCTTTGCCAGGGTTTGACACACGAAGCTGTGGGAGTATTTACCCAGGGCAACTCCCTGGTCAGGCAGCTTGCTGAGGAAAGAAGAAATGAGTTGTATAAAAGGCCAGCGTGGTCTAGGCTAGAGAGTTTCCTGGGATGTGTTCATAAAAGTGGGAGTGGATAGGTGTCAAGCAAGGTGGGACAGGCATGCAAATAGATTAGAAAAGGGTGAGACTGGAAAGGAATGTGTCTAACTCAGTCTCATTTAAGCCCAAAGCCCAGAGAAGACTAGTGTCTTGCTTGGTGTCACACAGCTTATGAACTGGGCCCAGATACTGGGTCCTGCATTACATTCTCCCATGATTCCTTCACCCCTATACTCAGAGAAAAACACCTCTAACAGATGCTTGGATAACTCCTTGCTAGCTCAAAGCTCTTATGGCCATTACCTGTCTTCAAAAAAACTCTGAAAGAAGTTAAGGTAAGTTAATTCCCATTTTACAGATTAAGAAATGATACCCAGGAAGTTAGACCACTTAAGCACCTAGTTCAGGAGCTGGCACATCAGAGCTGCTAGGTACAAGTGACTTTGGTGACAACAGGGATGGTGATGATGATGATGCCTCGCTTACATTGCCTTTCACTGTCGTGGTCCTCACATGCTGCACTGATGTTCTGGAAACTACACACAGTGCCTCAAAGCATCAACATTGGTATCAAATGCTCCAACTCATTTTCTATTCTTACGCCGCTGAAACTGGATTCTTCTCCCAGACAGGAGAGCCTGGTTGACTTAGCTCGGGACCTCGGCTGGAGAAGGGAAAGGCAACTTTATTAGCTTCCCCCCAAAGAGTATGGGCAGTTGGGGCAAGGGGCTTCTTACATGAAAATGGGCACTGTTAGTGAAAGAGGACATGGAGGTGCACAGGTACAGATGCGCTTGTAAAAGGTAGACACTAGGTCTGCTCTGTCCAATGTGGTAGCCAGAGTCACTTGTGGCTATGTAACTTTAATTAACTTTAAATAAAATAAAAAATTCAGTTCCTCAATCACACTAGCCACACTGGAAGTACTCAGGAGTTATATGTGGCTTATGGCTACTGTACTGAACAGCACAGATTATAGGACATTTCTGTCATTGCAGAAATTTCTATTGGACAGCGCTACTGTGGGATTCTTAGAATTTAACTCTGACTTTTCTTCTCTTACCTCATACATTGTGAATGTGGAAATAGCAAAAGCGGTGAGTCCATCTTTATTCATTTATTTAACACTTAAGTGTCTACTCTGCATCATACATTGTTGTAGGTGCCAGGATGCCTGGGAGGGACCTTGGATACCCTCTGTTCAGTGCATCTCACATTAGAATCATCTAGGGAGCTCTTAAAAGTACTGGTTCCCGGGCCCCACCCAGCAGAGATTCTGGTGGAATTGGTTTGGGGCGGGGCTTGCACACTTGTGGGCTGGAAAAGCTCCCAGGTGATGCTAACACACAGCTGGAGTTGAAACCCTCTGCAGCCTGGGCTGACCAGTGAAGCGACTTGCCTCAGATAATCTGAAAACCTGAATCCGCAGGGGTCTAACGTCTACTCTAGGGTTCTTAGGACAAAATCAGTGTTCTCCGTGGAGGCGGCACCGATGTGGAAAGAGTGCAAAATTCTTAGCGGAGAACATGTCTGTTCTTTCTTAATCTAAGGGGAACCCAATTCACTAAGAAGAAAGTGCCAAAAGAATTTCTGGTTTAGGATTCGGTCTTTCTCAAACTGTTGGTGTGTTTCATGCCTGGAACTGCATTATTCAGCCACGTGGGTGAAATGCCTATAAAAATAGTACCCTTTTCTGAGTGCCTCATGTAGGTCAGGCATTTCTCATACAGTTTGGTTTAACCTCCAAGACGCTCCTACGAGTTGAGTTTTGTGGACGTTAGTTTACAGATGAACAAACTGAGACGCAGAGAGGTTAAGGATTCTGGGCTTGTCCAGGTAGGCACAACTGGGTTCCAACGGCAGAGCTTGTGTTCTTTCCTCTTCGCCACCCCGCGCCTACCCCTTAGCAGAGAGCGCAGGGCAGCTGGCGGGCAGCAGCGTTGCGCTCTGGATCTCCCAGGAAGGAAAGCTCTGTGAAGGTGTCAGGGGAAGCCCCAGAGCTGATGTGACCTGGACACTGTGCTCGGGGATAGTGCTGGGGGGCCTGGAGGGAAGAGGGATTCAAGTATAAGATAAGAGAGGGGATTTGGGGCGGAGTTCTTTTAGTTAAAGGTTGTGCGGGGATTCCTTTTCCAAGGAATTTGGAGGAAGCAGCTAAGAGCAGTGTTGTGCCTGGAGCAGTTAGCTCTTAGACACCTAGCAATTACGGGGCATGCTTGGTATAAGCATTATCTATTCTTGG